CAGTTGTTGTTGTTGAAAGTGTGTGTGTTAAGGCATTATCTAGTGTTAAGGTGGTTTACTTTGAATACAATGCGTTGTAGGGTGTGTTAAGGGGGGTTTACTTAGAATACAATGCATTGTAGGGTGTGTTATGGTAATTTAATTTGAACGCAATGCATTCAAAACATAGCCCCTCTGTTTAAATCACTAAACATACGCTCCATTCATTATCTTTTTCTATTTACACTTGCAAAACCTTGTTCCATGATTCTGATCTTGATCTGAAACTCTTCTCTGATGTAATAACTCCCATTATCACCATAAATATCTCTCTCTTTGATATTCCTAAAGTCAGGCTAAATCTGTACAAACACTCTATGCAAATAGAAGGACCCAGTCTATGGAACTCGCTTCCCAATGAATTAAAAAATTGTCCAACCTATACTTTGCTCAAAGGTAAAATCAGAAAGTACTTAAAAGTAAAACCAAAAAGTACTTAAAAGTAAAACCAAAAAGTACTTAAAAGTAAAACCAAAAAGTACTTAAAAGTAAAACCAAAAAGTACCTAAAAAGTAAAACAATACAATACCTAAAAAGTAAAACAATACAATACCTAAAAAGTAAAACAATACAATACTTAAAAAATTACCCTCACCGTTTTGCCCACCTTGTGCTCCAAACTCACTCCTGTGTATCTCACTCCCCCAGTTGAGTAATTAGGACGTGCAACTTCACCGGTATAATCTATACTATCCATATGTAATGTACTTATAATGTTGAATTGAAATTCTGTTCAGTTCAAATGGCTTTGCAAAACTGTAACACTTAAGCCTCTATATGTGAGTTCTTTTATAGCCCAAAGTACCTTCTTGTATATAAACAAAATAAATAAAAATAGAAGGTGTATCAAGTGGGTTTATTCCGAAGAGGGGTAGGAGGGCTGGAGGGTAGAGCAACGGTCTCACTTCATGCAGGTCGACGTTCAATCCCCAACCGTCCAAGTGGTTGGGCACCATTCCTTTCTTCCATCCCATCCCAATGTACCTATTAATAATTTTCAAATTATGCTACAACGTACCGATCAATATTCTTCAAAATTTCATACAACATAATATGGTAGAAGTAGGATATATGTAGAAGTAGAAGAAATATGAGTGGTAGAAGATTAATCTGTTAGATTAAGGACCTGCCCGAAACGCTATGCATGTTAGTGGCTTTGCAAGAATGTAAAAAATCAATGTTATATACTCTCACAAACCCAGTGTACCTTTTTGTATATATATATATATATATATATATATATATATATATATATATATATATAAATAAAAAATACCAAAGTGTGGGCGGTAGTGGACCCCTATACCTATCCTGTAGTCCTCAGTTAAATTCAGGTAAATTATAACCTCTAATCCAGTATCATACCCTCTAACCTAGGAATATAACCTCTAACTCAACATTGTAACCAGAAAATCAATATTCATAACCTGAAACTTTGTTCCACAGGTGTCGGTTCAGGTTACGGTGTACGTTGAAGACGTCAATGATCACGCCCCAGCCTTCGTGGCCAAGAACATCACAGTTACCGTTGATGAACTCACGCCTGTCGGTTCGTTTTCTGTTTGAGTTTAGATGCTGTTCGTTTTCTTTTATTATAATATACGTAGACTGTACAATTTATTCATCGGATAATATATCATATCTCTTAAAGAGTATTTATAGTATTTGTATATCTTGTATATATATTTAAATATATCAACATAATTTTTAAGATTTGTACTTTTGCTTAAACCATTGTTGAATGGAAGCCACAGTTAAAATATAACACAACAGGTGCAATAATTAGTAGTCCGGAGCCGCGAGGCATTGGGAGCAATACTTCATCCCCCCGTAGTCATGCCCAACCACTTGGGCTGGACGGTAGAGCGACGGTTTCGCTTCATGCAGGTCGGCGTTTAATCCCCGACTATCCAAGTGGTTGGGCACCATTCCTTACTCACGTCCCATCCCAAATCCTTATCCTGATCCCTTCCCATTGTTACACAGTAGTTAATGACTTGGTGATTTATCCTGATAATTCCCACCCTCCCTCCCCGTAGTCACTAACAGGTAAGCACAGTGGCCAAGTTTACTGGGATATCCAAAGTAGACCATGTGACCACCCAGCCACAGGCTGTACTGTGTTATCCGAACATTTGGGCATGACTGCTGAGTGGACAGCGCTCAGTGTTCGTAGTCCTCAGGGCCCGGGTTCGATCCCCGGCGGAGGGGGAAACAAGTGGGCAGAGTTTATTTCACCCTGATGCACTGTTCACCTAGCAATAAATAGGTACCTGGGAGTTAGACAGCTGCTACGGGCTGCTTCCTGGGATATAATATAATGATTTATATAACATCAGTGATATTTTTTTATTGAAATGTTTTACATTAATAAGTTAATTTTTCCTTAAAATTTTGTATTTTAATAATTTGTGCCCAGCAAAGGCAATACATCCACCAGAACAGTATTGAATTTATTCCATAATACTGTATTCATATATTTTTTTTTGGGTGGGGGGGGGGGTGGGGAACTATCCGTTGAAAGGAAATGTAATAACCCGCCAGTAGACTGTCATAACGAGGGCTTGCATCCTCCCCAGGGTTGACAATTCTCCCCGAGATCAGAGTGACAGACGAGGACAAGCCCAACACCGCCAACTCGGAGGTGGAACTCGAGCTTCAGGGAGGCAATGACGGTCACTACTTCACAATGGCTGACAGAAAACGGGGGACCATCACTCTGGCCAAACCTCTGGATTATGATGCTGGCCCAAACAAATTCTTCCTGGAAGTCCTGGCAAAGGTGAGGATCAGTGCGCTGGGTATTAATAACAAGAATCATTATTATTATTATTATTATTATTATTATTATTATTATTATTATAGTGATAATAATAGTAATTGTTAGGATTTAAGGTATGTTGTAGGACTAAGTCTACCTAGGTTAGGCCCGTAATAGTAAGAGACGATGCTCATTTGTCTATAAGGAATACGAGTGATCTACACATGGAACCGATACTGGTGACGTCACATTGTTTTGTAAATAAAGCCATGTGGACGAGACTTCCGTTCCCCCGCCCCCTCCCCCGGTCGAACCTTACCATGGCTTCCCTTAATTGTCGTCGCCCCTCAATAAACAACAAAAACATACCTTACCATGCCCAGACATAACTGTAATCATAACACAAATCATAATTGTATATAAAAAGAGTTATGGAAAATATACATTGTTGGTACAGTACTTGCATTATCCATAGTCACTGCAACAGTCCCTGGGTTGACTATTTAAGGGAAATGATCGGGATAAACATTTAAACAAATCATTTACCTGCATCTATATCTCGCTCATATTGGAAGCCTTGGGGCAAGAAAGGTTCATGCCTTGTGAATCCGAAACGCTATGCGTGTTAGTGGGTTTGCAAGATTGTAAAATTACCACTCTTATGTAATCTCGCAAACCCATTGCAGCTTCATGTAAATAATAATAATAATTTTATTTTATAATAATTTTATTTTATAATAATTTTATTTTAATGCTAATTATTATCATTATTATTATAATCCCATTTTGGTACCGCTGGATTGTTCCACAAATTCTGGATTGTTTCAGGCGTAAGTTAAGACATCCATATATGAATGAGTTTGGGTGGAAATAAATAGTAACTGCCTCATATAGGCAATTATAGGCCTTCTGCAGTTTCCTCAGTGTTAATGTTCAACTGTTCTTTTCGGAAGAGTTATTCCAACAGGACAGTATTTTAAAGTTAAGTAGTTTTTTCAGTTAAATTCTTCAGCAGGTAGACTGTTCTGTGGGTTCTCTGGGGAGGAAAGATACTTCCTATATGTCAGCTCTGTTGGATAACTTGGCCAGCTTGAACTTAAGCAGATCATCAGTAATTGAGAGTTAAGGTAAAAAAAAAAGTGAACAAGTGAAAAAAATATGACTAGCAAAGAAATTACAAGCACATGGAATAAGTGGAAGAATACTAGAATGGATAAAACAATGGTTAAAACAAAGAAAACAAAGAGTGGTGCTATTTTTGGGTGTGTTAAAGGCATTTGTTAAACTTGAAATCATTGATTTACTTTTCTTAGTTTAAGAACAAAATTTTTCTTCAGTTGTGCACAAAAATGTTCTTCAGTACTATTCAGTGCATCAGTGAGATCTTTCACAATAATTTACTTTATATACTTAAAGAAAAAAAATTGTGGAATCATTTTCTGCGTCCTGAAAAAGATTAAATTTATCCCCTAAGAATCTTAAGTGAATATATGTGATCTTCTTTAATATGGGGTGTTTTGAAATGCATTCTTGCTTAAATAATGTACCTTACTCTGCCATGGTAATACTTTATTACTCTCTCATCCATCCTTGTTTCACCTATGGTATCTGTGCCTGTGGTTCTACTACCCAAATTATCTATGACCCTCTAATTACTAACCACAAATCAGCAGTTAGATAAAGATACTCAAGCCTCAGACAGCACTCGGCCCTTTAAATCTTTGAATATGTTAGATATTAAGTCACTGTACATTCTCTCTAGTGTTCTCTATATAATACGAAGCATTGAACTGAAATGCAAATCCAGGCCTTAAACAGAGGGCTGTAACAGAACCCATGGGAACCACACTAGAAACAAATACCTATTTAAGTGCCACTTAACCCAAGATTGCCACTTAACTAAAAGAAAAAATGTTCTGCAAATCAAACGTTCCAAAAGGTGTAACAACTTTCCTAATCACATCAAAAACTGTCCCTCTCTCAACCAGTTAAGAGAGAAACTAAGAACTACCTAATCAACTGTATGTAATCTCCCTACCTTCCTAGATATCAACCTATGTTTTGCTGTTACTGAACATTAATTACCGAAGTTGTAAAGCTGATGATATCTTCCATGTACAAATTTTAAACAATATTTTTATTCCTTCTGTTTATTTAGTGAAAATTACTACCTGTTGTTCTGTTGAAATCTCTGCTGTACCAATCACAATGTAGTAATTGTTATTGTTTATTTTTGTCTAGTTCAATTCATGTTTGCTTTTGACCTCAGTTAATCTTAAGTTCTTTAGTTTTAAGTTTTATCCTCATGATGCGGGAAACGCTCTGCGTATTAGGCCCTTTTTTTACCTATAAACACTGCATTCTTTTTTTTCTATATGTATGTATGTACTTTTGCTTAAACCTGATCTCCTTGTATTCACCTCCAATCTCTTTGTCCTCACATCCCATCTGCTTGTCCTCACATTCCATCTCCTTGTCCTCACATTCCATCTCCTTGTCCTCACATCCCATCTCCTTGTAGTCGCATCCCAGCTTCTTGTCCTCACATCCCAGCTCCTTGTAGTCACATCCCAGCTCCTTGTCCTCACACCCCAGCTCCTTGTCCTCACATCCCAGCTCCTTGTCCTCATATACTTCATGTCACATGGTTATACAAAGGTAGTGCACTCTACTAATGAATATTGTTCCTGGACACCTTTGCAGGACATGGGCAAACCGTCTCTCAGTTCCACGAGCACGGTAACTGTGGTGGTGGTGGACGCTGACGACCTCCCGCCAGTTTTCTCTCACAACCTCTATTCAGCCCGAGTGACAGAGGTCCCTGGACCTGAGAGAGTGAGTCAAGCACTCCAGTACAGTGAACAAATTGTGTAAAGAATTAAATGTGATAATTTGTGAGACATAAATCTGATGTAATAATGTTCATTGATTATAAGTATTCCACATTTTTTTTATAATGGTTCATGCCACTTCACCTAGTATGAAAATTAGAAATGGGTTAATAATAATTGTTAATATAATTCAATACAATTTTTAATTTTCTTGTAAAGCTGATAACCAGAGATCTTGTCTCGTTTCTATTAATATAAAGACAAATAATAACATGGCTGAAACAGGTAAGCCAACACACACACGTTAGTTGAATGTGATGATGCTTCTGTTCGTTCTGGACACTGATGCGTCAAGCATTTACACACCACTTACAAAATCTCTACATCTTTTCCTAATTATGGCAGCTTTCTTTACATATATGAAGCAGTTTGAGCTCTGAGATTGTTTATTATAATAATAACAACCTTAGGTTTTAAAGTTTCGAAGCGCATAAACTGTTCAATAAATGTCACAATACTGTCATGATTAAGAAAAGATGTACAGGGTTCGTTAAGTAATTGCATAAATGTTGAATCCTTGCCCTGGAACCCTTATAAGGGTTATATATTTTAATTTGTGAACCTATTTTGTTTTTATTTAAGGGCTTAGATATCCGTGAAGAGGTGGAGGTCTCACCTGGGCCGCTGAGAGCCCGAGATGGGGACGCTGGGAAGAACGTCACCCTGCGCTACTCTCTTGTGGAGTCCCCAGCTGGCGAGTACTTCACCCTTGACCCAGACACTGCCAAGCTCTTCCTCACCAGACACCTTGATCGTGAGAAGCTTCTTGACAACACTTTGACGTTGCATGTCAGAGCCGAACAGGTTAGATGGGGTACAAGCCTAAAGACAAGATTTCTTTTATTAAACTATGCCTTTCATCACAGGTGGCTGTTGTTTTTTCATTGTTACTTTTTGGTGAAATGTGAATACTGTATATTTTTTTAGGGAAATCACTCCCTTGATGTACGATGTGTTCGTGGTAGTTTGCAGATGTTGTGATTCTCTCTTTGGTCCCGCCTCTCAACTGTCAATCAACTGGTGTACAGATTCCTGAGCCTACTGGGCCCTTCATATCTACATGTGTTTGAGACTACGTACCTGTTGACTATCTGTTAGAGATTTTGAGGATCAATGTATCTTTGGCCCAGTCTCTTACCAGGCCTTCTGGTTGCTGGTCTCATCAACCAGGCTGTTCAACGCGGCTACTTGCAGCCTGATGAATGAGTTAAAGCCTGCCTGGTTGATCAGGTATCCTTTGAAGGTACTTTTTAAGTTCTCTTTTGAACACGGCGAGAGGCCAGCCAGTTATGCCCCTTATGTGTAGCAGGAGAGTATTTGATCCCTGATGTTGATCAAGTTCTCTCACAGCGTGCCTATTGCACCTCTGCTTACATAGAAATAATGTACAGATTTTCTGATACTGTACCTCTCTTTCTTGTTTATTGTCTTCCAGTATCTGTCCTTATTTTATAATTGCAGTCTCCGTGGTGTAGTGGTAAGACACTCGCCTGGCGTTCCGCGAGCGCTATGTCATGGGTTCGTATCCTGGCCGGGGAGGATTTACTGGGCACAATTCCTTAACTGTAGCCTCTGTTTAACGCAACAGTAAAATGTGTACTTGGATGAAAAAACGATTCTTCGCGGCAGGGGATCGTATTCCAGGGACCATAGGATTAAGGACTTGCCCGAAACGCTACGCGTACTAGTGGCTGTACAAGAATGTAACAACTCTTGTATATATCTCAAAAAAAAAAAAAAAAAAAAAAAAAATAATAATCATTGTATTTGTGTCACATTGGAAAACGAAATTCACTTGATTTAAAGTTAATTAGCAAGTGTTTTGCATATGTATGTATCATAGTTTAATGATTTCAGGAGTTATGCATGACTGTTTTTAATAAGTAAAAGGTAATGGTGTGCAGTTCATTGCATTCAAGTTGTACTGTTTACTGTATTGCACTTTATAGGACCATAATTGTGACTTAATGTGTCAAGTATATTTGTTAGATGTTGTATTTCTTATACGTTACTGTTCTCGAATGTTGGGGAAAAGCTGGTAAAGCTTTGTTACCAATAATTTACTGAGTGCTATTGCTGCTGTCCCCCTGTCTCCCAGTCGTCCCCACCATTCTCATCTCCCCCGTCCCTTCGTCCTCCCAACCATCCCCACACCCCCGTCCTCCCAACCATCCCCACACCCCCGTCCTCCCAACCATTCCTCACTCCCCCCGTCCTCACTGCCATTCCCCCCTCCCCCGTCCCTTTGTCCTCCCCACCATGCCCCATTCCACCGTCTCCTTGTCTTAACCATTCCCCACTCCACCGTACCCTCGTCCTCCCCACCATCTCTCACTCCCCCCGTCCCTTCGTCCTCCCTGCCATTCCACCCCTCCCCCTTCCCCCCCTCCCCCTTCCCCTCGTCCTCTCCGTCATCACCTATTTCCCTGTCCCTTTGTCCTCCCCACCGTTGCCCATTCCCTTGCCCGGTGCATTCCCAAATTATCTGATGTTCCTATCAGAAAATTGGGAACATCAAATGATCTGAATTCCCATCACTGAAATATAAGAAAAACAATTAAAAAATCGAAATGAAAAAAATAGAACTATACAAATATGTTGACCAAACCACACACTAGAAAGTGAAGGGACAACGACGTTTCGGTCCGTTCTGGACCATTCTCAAGTCGATTGTGTGTCATTCTCGTCGCTATATTTATAGCGATAAAAATAAACTATACCTACGAAATGAACGGTATAGTAAACAACACGGCTCAATTCCAATTCACTGTCACACAAAATAATTAAATTAAAATGAAAATAAATCGAAATCTATGAAAATTCAATTTGGCAATGCAATCAGAAACATTTAAATGGAATCGTGACATATTTAATATAGCGTGTGTTGCTCTTACGTGCAACAGATGGCGCCGTTTTCAAAAAAGCATGTTTTTACCCGTCACAGGTGTGGCATCTATATAATAGGTATATAAAAACACAGGCGTATTCGAATGAAACGTTGTATCAAAATTTCAAAGCAATCGGTGAAGAACTTTCGGAGATTAGCGATTTTGTACAAACGAACATTTCCATTTTTATTTATATAAATATATATATAAATACACTGTATACAGCAAAGGTCCCATGAAGGAATAGTGTTAAACACGGTAGAAGGAAGTACCTCAGTGGGATTTACCTGAATGCTTTGAACATGCTTGCCAGAGGAAATAATCAAATACAATATAGAGTTATCTGATAATCAATATCCTTAATTTAAACTAGAAACCCTTACAAATTTCAGGCAGTTGCTCAAATAATTGATATTAGGATATATATACCAGCTAATGAGAATAATTAACTAAATCTAGCAACGTCTCCAAACTCCAGGTGGATGACCCTAGACGTGTGGGATCGGCAGTGTTGGAGGTGGTGGTGGAAGACCTCAATGATAACCTTCCGGAGTTTGTCCATGATGTGTATTCCATCTCCATCATGGAGAACTTGCCTTCTGGCTTTAGTGTTGTTCAAGTCTCCGCATTAGATCCTGATGAGGTAAGCAGTGAAAGACCTCGTTTTTATTATATTATACCCCTATTAATACCGTGGGTCAAGGTCCCCCATGGTCCGGTATCTGACCAGGCCTCCTACAGGGTACCCATAGTTGTACAGGTACAGACTTGGGTGCATACAGCTGCACAGGTACAGACTAGGGTGCATACAGCTGCACAGGTACAGTCTAGGGTGCATACAGCTGCACAGGTACAGACTAGGGTGCATACAGCTGCACAGGTACAGACTAGGGTGCATACAGCTGCACAGGTACAGACTAGGGTGCATACAACTGCACAGGTACAGACCAGGGTGCCTACAGGTCTAACATGCAGCTGTAGTTACGTCAGTAACAACCTCATCTGTGCTGTACCTTGCACTGTTGTACAATGTGGGACATTTCTCCTTGAAAACATCACGATTATTATTGGACCTAGAGGCATCATCCATCATGACATTTGCTACCTTTCTGCATGAATTTTTTATTTTCTAATTTCACTCCAAAAATCGTAAACTTTTTCTTAGAATATCAACAACTTCTTTTGATTTTGCAATATTATCGTTCTCTTTCTTAATGCTCTATATATTGTTGATATTGAGCCCTATCTTGAGGTTATCTTGAGTTGATTTCGGGGCTTTGTTTTTAGTGTCCCCGCGGCCCGGTCCTTGACCAGGCCTCCACCCCCAGGAAGCAGCCCGTGACAGCTGACTAACTCCCAGGTACCTATTTACTGCTAGGTAACAGGGGCATAGGGTGAAAGAAACTCTGCACATTGTTTCTCGCTGGCGCCCGGGATCGAACCCGGGACCACAGGATCACAAGTCCAGTGTGCTGTCCGCTCGGCCGACCAGCTCTACGTCTGATCTAGGGTAGCCAATCAGCTCTAGGGTACCCTGTATCTTTCCATAGGTTATGGCCAAAAATAGGTCTTATTTGTAATTCCCTAAGATGATTGTTCTTACAAGGCATACTACTACTACTTATATTTGTCTTAAGAGGAATACTCTCTTTGCTCTCACTAGCACTGACATGACCAATTTACAAAAAGTAATTGAGACTGTTCTGATGAACAGATACTGAAGATTACTGCAGACAATTGCATCTGTTGGGATCTGAGTATCAACACATCTTTATATTAATCAGGTATTTTCAACTAGGTTAGCTCCCAGTTTAGATGAGTTCTAGGGGGGGGATTACGGTTTTCATTAGCAGCAGCAACTTGTGAGGGAGGTATATTGATGGTGGTCATGATGGGAAGATACCAAGACAAGTTATCACCATCACTGATAGCCTTTTACTCACAATCACGAATATTCATTTGAAATATTTGCATAGCACAATCTTTGAACAATAAGGATCATTTTCTTCTGAGAAATCTTACTCATTTTATTCCTAAGGCCATATTTTACTGACTGCTGGTTAGGATCTTGTGCACATATAGGTGGTTAACATAACGTGCTTGTGCAACACAGATTTGACAAACTGGTCCCATGTTGTCATTCTGGCGCTAGGGAGATAGGGAGATAAATCCACAAGGGCCGTGATGACGGTTCAAACTTACGTCCATGATGATCCCAGACGCGCATTAATCGGGATCCGTGTGTGAGCAGTAGCAATCCCGGTTGCAATTCTTTTGATCATGTCGTGGCTTAATAGATTAAGGCGCGTCTGGGATCATCCTGGACGTAAGTTCGAACCCTCATCACGGTCCTTGTGGATTTATTCATTTGATATATCACGCTATTGTGATTTCTGTGTGTACTGAAGTATGGGCGAAGAGGAAGAATAGCGTGTTGACAGAGCCCGAGTGCATGGGGGAATTGTGTAAAAACCCCGGTTTGAGTCTCTGAGAGACTGCGGGATCCGTGTGAGAGCAGTAGCAATCCTGGTTGCAATTCTTTTGATCATGTTGTGGCTCAGTCGAGTAAGGCCCGTCTGGGATAATCCTGGACGTAAGTTCGAACCCTTATCACGGCCTTACGGATTTATTCACAGGCTACTTGTTCCTCATAAAATTAATTATTATTTCCTGTCCATCTTCATCATTTGTCTGGACTCAGTTCGGCCAGTAGGATCAGCAAGAGAACAAGTTTGATGTCTCTAATGCCAATTGGAGCTGGGAATGGCTTGGTGGGTTTGTGAATGTGTGTTTTTTTTTTTAGAGGTCATTCTGGAATGGATTCAAAATTTCTCTGGTACTTCCTTAGTACCTGTTAAACCAGTTGGGAAAGTTGCTAAAGATTACTTCTATGTGGGTGTAGAATATCAACTTGCCATGACTGTGTCTTGATTAGTGCAGAATAGAAGCTAGTCTTGAATGTGCCCTGACTGGTGCAGGATAGTGACCAGTCCTGACTGTGCCCTGACTGGTGAAGGATAGTGACCAGTCCTGACTGTGCCCTGACTGGTGCAGGATAGTGACCAGTCCTGACTGTGCCCTGGTTGGTTCAGAAATATAATTTAGACTCTGAAAAGATCTTTTAATTTACTATACTTTTAATGTAATTTTTTTATCCTCTTCTGACAGATTTCTGTTTATTAAGCCAAGAGAATCTACAAAATATTTAATTTGCAACTGACAACACTTCTTTTGTGTGGATGTGTAACAAGTTCTTTTCAGTATTGATAATTTTGCCCACTGACAACAATTTTTTTGTCTTATTCTTTCTTCTCTATTGCTGGTTAAGCATATAAATAAAGATTCATATTTTTCAGTATACAGAATTAATAATATTTGAATCGAGACAGGATACCATGCTTTGTCAACTATGATAAATTCATCAAACTAGATGTGTTTCTATTTCATTGTGATATCATTGTACATTAACTTTATAATGTATTTTTATGTAATTATTTGATTTTTAGGGTATAAATGGAGCTTTCACCTACCGTGTGGTTGGTGGAGACGGAGCTCTGGCAGTCAACCCACACTCTGGCTGGCTAACAGTGGCTGATCACAACTTGCTTGACCGCGAAGACTCTCCCGTCATTAACCTTCAAGTGTGTGCTCACCAGGTCTCACCTCTCGTCAATCCTCTCTCCAAAGAAATCAATGCTCGGCCATCATCATCAGGTGACAGCATGGAAAACAGGAAAATGAAATTTCAAGATAATAGTACAAATACAAGAACTGGAGAATTTATAATGCATGATTGGCATAATGCAACCACTGAAACATCATCAAAAGAGACTTTGGCACTATTGGAAGAAAAGCAAAAACAAACTACTCGAGCTGTAGTACCACGTGTGAGGAGTGTGGAGCAGACAGCAAGTAAACCTGCGCCTGAAACTCGCTCTCCTATTGAACCTCAACACAGCAGACATGGAAGGCAGAGTTTGCTTGCCGATTCAGAAGAGAAAATCCAAGAAATAGGTGAGCAAGACTTGGCAGATGATTCTGATTCCCTCGATGTAACAAAAGCACCGGAAATGCAAATCCAGCAGCAAGGACATCCAGGGAGAAAGAAACAAATTTCAAGCGCAGAAAATAAATTTATGGAAAGAAATAGTCCTGGGATACAAGATAGCTTAGTGCCCCCTTCAGCACCTCCAGCTTCTTCGCCAGCACCTTCGCCAAAAGTCTCTAAAACAAATGATACTGACAACAAAGCAATTTTGCAAAAAATTAGACAAGTAATTATACATCGCAGAAAAATTGTCAACAATCGCTCAGTAAGAGAGACTCCAAATCCCTCACGGTGGAACAGATCAACAAACCTTACTGGAAAAGTTGAAGCAGTAAATGATGGATCTGGAGCAGATGGTTCACTTCTTAAACTTGAATCTTCATGTGCTAAAATTGAGCTAACATTGCTAGATGCAAATGACAACAATCCAGTCTTCCTTCCCACCAACCAATACCAATTTTCCATCACAGAGGATGCACAGGAAGGGCACATCATAGGATCAGTAAGTATCTATTTTAGTTATCTTTACCTCACTTCCTTCCTGGATAAATCTGGGTAAATGACAATGTAGCAATCGTTGAATAACTGTTAATTCCATTCACCTGGGCTCTAGGAGACTCGAACCGCGGACCCTACCCTATATGTGTGAGGTCGAAGCTCTATCGACCGAGCTGTTGAGTAGTCTTAATAAAGTAAGTTTCCAGAAACAGCATCCTGCTGGGTTAATGTTTATTTCCATGGAAGTGTAGATGGCAGTTTTGTTAATCGAATGTTACTAGATATAAACAAATTTGCCCATTGAGTCTACTTTAACCTGTAAACCATACACTTATTATGCTGCTGATGTACACTGTATGCAGCTCTTGACAGAAATGAGTACTCCTATATGTTTATTTGTTGACTTACGTAAGGCTTTTGATACAGTTAATCACAGTAAACTATTTCTAAAAGTACACCACCATGGAACCAGAGGTTACTCCCTTTAATACTTACAATCCTACCTCAGTGACCGGCTCCAGAATGTTTGTGAATGATACTAAGTCTCCCACTGTGGCAGTAAACAATGGCTTTCCATAGGGTAGTATTCTTGGTCCTTTCCTCTTTCTTTTTATACCTCAATGATTTTCCTAATGTCACTCGACACTTGAAGCCAAATATATTTGTTGATGACAAAACTTTCACTTTCTCTAATGCTAACACAGTTATTTTAAATGATGCTGTGAATGCTGAATTTAAAAAAACATCCATCAATGGTTGATTGCTAACAAACTTACCCTTAATATTGACAAAGCATTTTACAAATTGTTTGGTAACAATTCCTTCAATCAGATTAACCTAAATATTAACAATTACCAAATACTGTGCAAATTAGAAGGTAAATTCCTTGGAGCTCAAAGTGACAACAAGCTGAACTGCCATACACAAATGCAAGTAAAAAAGTATCAAACAGTAGGCACTCTCTCCAAGACCAAATACCGAGTACCTCGCTCTGCCTTGGTAACACACTATTATTATCACATCTATCCATATTTTACCTATAGTATCTGTGTCTGGGGCTCTACAACCCCAAAATTACCTTCGACCACTAATTACTCAACAAAAATCAGTAATTAGAGCTACTGTATTACAAATTCCAGTCCCAGACATCACTCAGCTCCCTTACTGAAATCCTTGAATATGTTAAGTACAGTATCAAGTCACTGTACCTCCTCGCAAGTTTGCTCTACATGTATAAAACTTTGCACTGCAAACACAATAAAACTTTGCACTGCTTGCACTGCAAGCACTTCCCTGAAGGCTGCAGTAGAACCCATGGGCATCACACGAGAAACAAATATCCTCTTGATATCTCAAGAGTGCGACATAACCCAAGCAAAAATGCTCAGCAAATTAAGGGTCCCAAACTGTGGAATGACCTCCCTAATTAGATAAAAAAATTACACTTCTCTCTCCAGTTTTAAACAGAAACTAGGAAGCCTTATTAACATTATGCAAGCAATTTTCTGAACCTTTTCTTATCCTACATGTCAACCTGTGTTTTGCTGTTATCGTGAATATTATTTTTTAATTCATACTTGCTAGTACTAAATACTGCTCTTCCCTTACACCATAAAGCATTGTATGTTATTTATCTTATTCTCATTTAATTTTAAGAATTAGTTACTTTATATGTACTGCTCAAGCAGATGTTGTTTATAAATATCTCTTATTTAATTGTTAATTTAGACCTTTGCATTTCCTTTCTGGTATTATTGTTAAGAAACTACTGTACTGTCGATAAAACTAGACTCTATTTTCTAATAGTCTATGTCTGTCATCATTAAATATCATCTATATTTTGTATATCATTTGTTATTTTTTTCGGTATTCTTGCTTAGCTTCTTTGTTAGCAATAAGTGTTTGCCGCTTTAATTAATTTTTTTTATCAATTATCCGAAGTTTTACCCAAAACGCTTTACGTATTAGTGGCTTCATTAATGTGTGTAGCACCTGTCCCTACAATTGTCCGTTCCTCATTTGTTCATTGTACCCGTATCGTTTTGAATCAGAGCTATTTATTATTATTATTATTATTATTATTATTATTTTTATTATACTGTATTATTATTGCTGAATTATCTAGCTTACAGTTAGCTGCACATCTCCTAGCAGTAGAAGCTTGTTCTAGCCAATCTATTCTCAATATTAGACAAGAATAAAATTTGAAGTTATTTGGCCTAATCCGAAGCATACGAATCTACAGCTCACAAAATCTATCAAAAACCGATGCTCATTAGTCCATGGAAACGTCAAAATTGTGGGGCTTTGAAATTTACCGAGTCACTGGAATTTTGACGTTGTGGTTGACTGTTAGAGTTTTGGTACATTATGAAGAGAGGGTGTATGCATTATTATATGGATATTTATGATGATATTTAGAGCATCAATGACAATACAGCACATATTAGATGAGGGTTGATGAATATCAGTTTTGACGATTTTTTTATACCAGCATGACAGTTCACCTGGGGACGACTTGACAGTTCACCTGGGGATGGCTTGACAGTTTACCTGGGGATGATATTGGCAGCAGTGTCAAAACTGAGGTTCTTTATTTACATTTAAGCAGCTCATTTTGTATGCATTCACTGCAGTGGTTGGAATAGGTAAAGTGAGATGATCTTGATTGGTGAGCTTATTGAGGTTCCCAATCACCGCTGAGTTCACAGGAGTTAACAGTGAAAGAGTGACGCCCAGCAGTCCTGCCCACTTACACTGATGCCAGGGGGGGGGGGTACTATTGTAGAATATCTCTTATTATAACACCACTTGCTGTCGCAACACCCAAATAATAATAGAATAATAATGAGTATGTAGTATTGTGAAAAGTTACTGAACATTTTAACAGTATCTTCAATTGGTAATATCATTTGCTCTCATTTTGCAGGTTCTAGCAGAAGACATGGATCAGGGAGGCAATGGCAAGGTCACATACAAGATTCAATCTCGTGGAAATACCACAAGAGGCACCTTGAGGAACGCTCTCATCGTGGATAAGAACACAGGTGTTCTAACGCTGGCCTCTAAGCTGTCTCCTGGCCAGGTCACAGTCTTCATTGAGGCTTCAGATATGCCTTCTAACCCATCCGAGACAAGGACCACATTGGCTATTGTAACTATTGAGTAAGTTTAATTTACGGTTGATTCTTAGTACAGTACTTATTATCATTATTACTATGTAACCTGTCCGTAAACAATGGGGAGCGCTGGACGGGACATTACAGCTCGTCCTCATGAACCATGGCTTAGAGGGATTCCATCCAGCTGCCAAATGCCTGTTCATGAGTGAAAAATGCTTTACACATGACTGACAATTGATAATGTTCACACATTTCTTGAATAGTGCTTCACGCACACAGCCTGTCCTCATCAACAAAGGCCAAATGCTTGTTAATCCAGGTACCAAACCCCCTGTTTATGAATGAAGAACATTTTACACACGACTCTCAACTGATGACACAATACTGTAATTGCCAACTAGCCCTAAACATCTAACTTAACCTATACCTAAATATGCACATTATGCTAATATATAATAATAATAATAATAATAATAATAATAATAATAAATTCTGAGAAAATTTGTATTTTGAATGACCAGCATGTTAAAATTGATGACTGTGTCTGGGGTCGGCGGCTGGATGGAATGAACATTTGTTTGTGGACTGGTTGAATAAAAATAATTGCCAGCAGAACCTGACTACTTAATCTAAGCTATACCTAACTGCAGAAAAAATTCTAATATACAATAATACTAATTTTATATTTAAGAAAAAATATGACTTTGAATACACATTAAATTAACATTGATGAATGCCTCTTTGGGTTGGCCGCTGCTAGGATGTGTCTAGCCTGATAACAGGTTGACTAACTTCATGCTGTTGCATTTCCTTACTACAATAAAAGTATGGCTGAGATTTAAAAAGCTTTTTTAATAATAGTTTACATATTTTCCCCTTTATTTACCCATTCTTAGTCTTGTTATTTCTCTGCATTTTGGTTTATTCTTTGAATTTCTAATTCAGTTTTCTCTGTGCATCCATCAGAAAGTCTTAGGAACATGACAACAGAAATGAACCAGCATCCTGAGTAACTCCAGGTGAAAAATATTGACGTCTTTGAATGGAATCGAACTCGCATCCTTAGACTTCCCAGAGACGGGTGTTCGATATCATTGTATAATCTCAATAATTTCTCATTGATAAGCCATTTTTTATTTCACTGTACATAAATTGTCTTTTCTCGCTTTTTCAGCGTGATGGCGACTCACTCTTGGGAGCCGAGGTTTGTGGGGGCACCATTTGAGCTCTGGGTAGGTGGGGATGCCCCAGTGGGTGCCAGTGTGGGCCAGGTCCATGTAGTGGACTTGCCAGGACCTGAACTGCTCTTTGACATGTTTCATTCTTACCAGGAAGGAGGTAAGTTTTACGAGCGAGTCTATTTTCTACTCTGTATACAGTACATGTACTGCCTATTTTGAATAGATACCTTGAATTAAGGTTCCTGGTAGTACAGTCGGATTTGTTCTCGACTCCCATTCAAGAATTCTGGATTTGAATCTCTGAGAGGACAGAAATGGTTGGGTGCATTTCCTATCACTTAATGTTCCTGTCCACTTAGCAGTAAATAAGTACCTAGGAATTAGTAAGCTTGTTGTGGTGTTTCGTCCTTGGGAGAGCCAGTAATTCGACCCTGGAAGGGACCTCGATATAAGCCTAACATGTACTTCATGTATAAACTGGCTTCCTGTCCCCCAACACAATAAATTAGATGATGACATACAGTACTCAGTATGCTGCCTGTCTCTTGAATAAGTAATGATAATATGCTTACTATGCTGCCTGTTACTATAATAAATTATGACATTAGACTTAGTATGCATCATGACAGTGACCTGTATCACTCACCAGACAGGAACCAGATAATCAGCTGAACATGATCACTTTTCACTGTTCTGTACTTGTTTTATCGTGTGAATAACCATCAGTGTTCAACTGAATTCACCTGAGGGTCATTAACTCTCTAGTGGCCTTGATGAGGACAGGAAGCTGGCAGCTTGTCAAAGGTCTCCCCTCATTTGTGCTTATGATTTTTTCAAGCTTCATTTTAAAGTTCAACAGAGTTTTGGCATTTTCGGCTTCAATGGGTAAGCGTTTCAATTGGTATATAACCCTGTGGGTGAAAAAGCATCTCCTGTTTTCAGTCCTTCATTGTGGCTAGTTGAGCTTGAAACTTGCTCGATGACCAAACCACACTCCATGATGGAGAAACGACGACGTTTCGGTCCATCCTTGGACCCTTATCAAGTCATATGTGGTCAAATCAAGACCACATACACCTTGATGATGGTCCAGGGTGGACCAAAACGTTGTTGTTTCTTCATTTTCTGGTGTGTGGTTTGGTCATATTCTTAGCCCTGTTATTGTGACTCATCATCTGCAAACTGTTGCTCCTTGTTTGTGTTACATCTGAACTTTTGAAGAAGTTGTCTGGATCAACATCCTCCAAATTGTTCAGTATTTTAAACATTTTGATGAGATCCGCCCTGTCATGTCTGGTTTGCAGTGTTGTTAGCCTTGTGGCTGTCAGTTATTCCTGGTATGAGAGTTGACTTGGTTCTTGAATGATTTTGTTTGCCTGGTATTAACTTTCTCCCATGAAGCTGTCTCTCTTTGAAAATGTGGTCTCTATTCTTGGATACAATAAACCAGGTGGGGCGCACCAGAGATTTATACAATTGAATAACTACCTTAGCTAACTATTTTTCCTAATTTAAAATCAAAGGTATACTTGATTATTCCTTGGGCTAGGTTAGCTTTTTTTTTTTACTAACCCGCCCACTTGTTGTGCAGCCTTGTGTGAATGATGGATTCTGACTCCAAGGTCATTATCTACATCACTCTGCTGCAAGGTAATGTTAGTAATTTGGTCCCCAAGTCCTACTGTTGCTATTTATTTTCCAGACTACACATTACTGAGAACTTCCATGGCGAGTTTTGTGCCACGTTGTGTGCTGGTGGTGCACCAGAAAGTGACTTAGTATGATGGTTCTCTCTAACTTCAGTCAGGGACTTTGTTGTGTATTTGTTAATTCAGTTGTTACATTGCTAGGGTGTGTGCTGCCAAGGACTGGTGAAGGCAGATGAAGTATTTTGACATTGAAGACCATCCCTAACATTTCCTATATTAATGTTGGCAGTCAGTTTCCTTTTCTTCAAAGAGAATCTGGATTTACTTGTTGTTTTTATTTTTCAATTGATGCTTTAGGATGGGAAAGGCTCTTCTAGGGGTTCTTTATTGGGTGCTTTAGCTGCAGGGGCTTGGATTCGTTACCTGGGGTCCTATTCTCCACCACTAGCTGTGGTTACTAAGAGAATTCGGTCCTCTCATTCATGCAAGAATGACATGTTTGCAAAAGTTTTTCTGTCCATATCCACAATGTATTGTACCTGTGTTAACCCCGTGAAAATTCCATATTTGTTAAATTTTTCAGGGTCTTAGCCTATAAAGTTAAGGTTTGTTCTCCCTATCCACACACTTTTGAAAACATTTTCCTTAAATGTTTCCATGGACTTTCATTCCACTACTTAACCTAAGAATAGATTGAAATTGGCTACAATAGTTGGTTTATTCATTATCATTCCTGATAAAACAAAATTATATGCAGCCTTACCCCCCACATACAAGTATTTTCACTGCATATCCAAAGGGTATGCAGTGAACCTTAACCTTAACAGTTAAGATAGTTTACGCACTCCGAGACAGTTAAATTTCATTAGGCAACAATCATTTGTTATCATAGTCGACCCTCAAAATGCGCTTATGGTGCTTTTTTGTTTGTATACAAATGAGGCCAAGTTTCATAATGCGGCAATGTTGACAATTTACAGGACTACAGTTTATGGTGATGCTAAGACTATGATGATATAGTGATGCTGAGACTTCATGATGCTTTATAGTACAGATATATGGTGAATGGGGGATTGTCATCTTTCAATAAATGAAATTAATATATGAATAATGTGCAGACAATAAGTCACAATAAAGTGGCAGAAAATTAGAAGCCCAACCCACACATCTGAAAATAAAGGAAGTGATGATGTTTCAGTCTGTCCAGAACTTGATAAAGGTCCAGGATAGACTGAAACTTCGTCATTTTATTTTCAAATGGGTGGGTTAGGCGTCGACTAATAATACAACTACAATAATTTTTTTTTATCCCCAGTTCCTTTTGCAATCGAGGAGACATCTGGCATTGTCTCTGTGCTGTCCCCACTGCAGCAGTACTCCCGTCCCACCTACGACTTTGAAGTGGTGGTGACAAATGGAAGATCATCACTGGCTACCAACCTCACCATTCACGTGGCACCGCCCCCTAGGCCTACCACTAGGCGGGATACCATCATTCAATTCACAATCCAGGTCTGGAAGCATGAAGAACCACACTAGAAACTATTATCTAATTAATATTCCAAGAGTGCAACTTAACCAGAGCAGAAATGTTCTGCAAATAAAGTGCTGGTGATTAATTTTGATAAGTTGGTCTAATTTTAATAAAATTGATTTGATTTAAATTGATAAATTTATCAAGATTAAAACAAGTGCTGGAATTATCAGATAGATTTTCTGAAAGGTTTTTATAGCTTTAGAGAATAGGGGATTCTATTGGGTTTATTACCCTATAAGTGAACATGCATCTGTTGTTGCCTGTTCTATATAATGGTTTATTAAGCATGGAGATGTTGTTATACCTTTCATAGAAGTGGTCGGATTTAATATCTTCTAGTTTGCTCATTGCATGGATCTAACAGTCAAGATTGAACTTTGTTAAAGAAAAAAATTGAAAAGATCTTTAGCAAGCATTTTTCTGGGGGGGAGCCCCTACGGCGCCCTGGAGCTATCCAGGCTGATATGGATATCCCTAACTTTGGTGTCAGCCGATGTAGGTGGAGTTCTAGGCCTACAGAGGATCACGAGCCAGAACTTGGCCCCCCTCTGACAGGCACGAGGAGCAATGGCCTATAGAAATGCATATGTGATTTTGGAGCATTCTATGTCTGCCATCGACCGGGACAGGCACTCGGAAAGGCAAACGCCCCGAATCAAATCCCTATTCTGGTTTAGAACAACGAAAATGGACAAACGAGTGGACAGAACTCCCCAATTGAAAATGACCAAACAAGCGTGACGTCACACGAGCCGAAGGGTGGAAGGGGCTCCCCCCCCCCTCCCCGGGAGAGGGAAGGGGGGAGCCCCAGACCCCGCCCCCGGACTGGCGATCCACCCTGCAGTTCTTCGGCTGATGGGATACTGCGTAGTTAGTTTTCACCTTTTTTTATTTATTTTTTACTTTTATTTATATATACAAGAGTTCTTACATTCTTGTACAGCCACTATTACGTGTAGCGTTTCGGGCAAGTCCTTAATCCTATGTTCCCTGGAATACAACTGCTGCAAAAAATCGTTTTTACAACCAGGTACTCATTTTACTGTTGAGTTAAACAGAGGCTACAGTTAATGATTTGCGCCCAGTAAATCCTCCCCGGCCAGGATACGAACCCAAGACAAAGCGCACTCGGAACGCCAAGCGAGCGTCTTTAACCACTACACCACTGGGACTGAAAAGAATTGCAGCTTTAACAGCGGCAGGCTCTGTTCCTTCTGGGTACGCTGTCCTCTTGCAATTTTTTTTTTTTTACTCTTTGTCGTTGTACTTCGTTTTCGGTTCGGGTGGTGTTGTCCTTTCTCTCGTGGTTGTTCCAGGATCGCCATCTTATGCCGAATAGTCACATTGTATCATGCGGTGCAGTCAGAGCCGCTTCAGCTTGCTTTCGATATAGATGTTACTTCTGCATGGTTTTGCAAGCTTTCTCATGCGTTTTTTCACCTCCGGCCTGCTCATTCACCGCCTGAGCCATCCTTGTCTTTGGACAGAGTGCTCTCCTATCTCTCTTCACCTCGGTTTGTTGCTCCCCCTTCGGTTCAGGATTGTTTCTCTAATGCTCTTTTCCTGTTGGCATTGGCCTCTAGGGGTCGGGTTGCAGAGCTTCATACTCTTCTTCACCCGCAGGGGTTTCTGCTCTTTTGGTCGTGGTGATAGTTTTGTTCGTTTGCAGCCTTCTTTTCTGGCGAAGAATGAGTCTGCTGCTGTCTGGAGGGGTCCTTGGGTTGATGATGCTTGGTTGGTCAGGCCGGGGGTGCATCATACGTTGTGTCCGGTTGCGGCCCTCCGTCGTTATTTGCGCGTCACGGCTCCTGTGTCCGGGGATGTGCTTTGGGTTGATCGGGTTTCCCTTCTTCAATGTTCGCGGGTACGGGTCTCTCAGGTCTATCACCGTGCCCATGACGTTCGTAAGTTCGGTGCTCTTCCTGCTGTCTTTGGTAACATGTCCTGGGCTGACATTCGGGCACAGGGTTTTTGGCAGTTGAACAGGGTCCTGGCTGCACGCTACCTCGTTAACGTTCCTAGGCCTAGTCGGGCCTATGTCACTTTGGGTCGGCGGCTGCACCCTGTCTCGATTTCGAGTTGAGGTGCGGAACACCGACTGTCTCCTGGTAAGTCCCCATCCTTCTTTTTAGTCTTTGGTGAAGTAGCTCCGGAGAACCATAGGGGCTCCTCCCCAGAAAACCAGCTTTGAATGTAATGAAACGTCATTTTCTAGGTGAGTCCTGGAGGCTCACCGGCAATCTGCCCTCCCTCCGGTTAGCGGTTTTTGTGTATTTTGATATCCAGCCTCAGAACTGTAGGGTAGATCACCGGCCTGGGGGTCTAAAGCTTCCCCTTTCACGGGGAGGGAGGAGCTGCGCAGTTCGTGTGATGTCATGCTTGTTTGCTCGTTTTCAATTGGGGAGTTCTGTCCACTTGTTTGTCTATTTTCATCGTTTTTAACCAGAATAGGCGTTTATTTTGGGGTGCTTACCTTTCTGGGTGCCTGTCCCAGTTGATGGCAGATATAGAATGCTTCAAAATCACATGCGCATTTCTATAGGCTTCCCCTTCCCTCTCCCTGGGAGGGGGAAGGGGAAGGTGGACTCCTTCGCGTCGGCATGGTCCCGGAATCTTCTAGTGCATGTGGTGCCCTTTCCCGACTGCGAGGCCATCGTGGTGGACGCTTTTTGGAAGGACTAGTTACCTAAACCTCTTCCTCCCTCTTGGTTCTGCTGTTGCTCCATGTCCTAGCTCGATTGGAGACTTACCAAGGAAGAGTAGTCCTCTTGGCCCTTGGTGGCCGGCCCAGCCTTGGTTTGAAGTGCTACTTGCTCGGTGTCCGAACCAGAGATGTTTCCCATAGCTCCACCTCTTTTAGCACATCAGACCGTTTTGGTACACGGCTGGTTCGGTCTTCTCCTCCTCTGTCGTCTGGTCTTTTTGACGTGGGTATATCATCATATGTATGGTGATCAGGTGTTTTTTTGTTGGTGTCCAACCTGTGAATTTCGTTTGCGATTTTCTCTCTTCCTCGGTTGTCTTCCATTATTGATCGGTTTGTCTTGTCCATTCTATCTTGGCTTTTTCAGGACCATCATTTAATGCGAATACAGTTGCCTAATATCGTGCGGTGCAGGCAGAGCTGCTTCAGCTTGCTTTCAGGGTGATGTCACTTCAGCCCCATTTTTTAAGCTCTCTTGTGCATTGTTTCAACTCCGCCCTGCTCGTGCGCCGCCTAAGCCGTCCTGTTTTTTTAACCTGTTGCTCTCTTTTTCTCTTCTCAGTTTGTTGTGGCCCCTTCGGATCAGGATTGTTTCTCTATGGCTCTTTTCCTGTTGGCATTGGCCTCTGTGGATCGGGTCGGGGAGCTTCATGATCTCCTCCGGCCCAGGGGTTTCTGCTCTTTATGTCCTGGTGGTAGGTTTTGGTTGCAGCCGTCTCCTCCTTTTATGGCGAAGAACGAGTTGGCGGCTTTCCAGAGGGGCCCTTGGGTTGGTTAGACCAGGGGTACATCATATGTTGTGTCCGGTTGTGGCTCTTTGCCATTACTTACGCGCCACGGCTTCTGTGGCCAGTGATGCACTTTAGGTTGACTCGGTTTAATTTGTTCCTTATTCCAGGGCTCGGATCTCCCAGGTCGTCTGCAGGGTTAGTCAGTCTAGCCAGCCTATGGTCTAGCCTCGTGCCCATGGCTTTTGTAAGTTTGTTGCTTTGGCTGCCGTCTTTGACAACATGTCTTGGGCTGACATTCGGGCACGAACATTTTGGAGGTTGAACAGGGTCTTGGTCGCCCGTTACCTCATCAAGGTTCCAAGCCCTAGTCGGGTGTGTGTCGTGTTAAGTCGCAAGCTGCAGCCAGTTGTCTCAACTTCGACTTGAGGAGCGAGTTGTGGCTGCCTCCCGGGTAAGTCTCTCTTTTCAAATTTCTTTGGCTAGACAGCTACAGGGAGCTGAAGGGGCTCACCACAGAAAACCCGATTTGAATGTAATGAAATGCCATTTTGTGGGTGAGCCCCGAAGGTGCCCCGGCACCCTCTCTCTGGTCAGCGTTTTTCTCGTGTATTTTTTTTTTTTTATGCTCAGCCTTCAGAACTGAATAGTGGGGCTGCCGGCGCGGGAAGTCTGGGGACCCCCTCCAGGGGGCAGGGGAACTACACGGACAGGCGACGGGGTGCGACGTTTACTTCTTTACTTGTTTTAGAATTGGGGAGTTCTTTTCTCTGTGTAGTCTTAAGGGTAGCAATAATTTTTTCCATGTGGGGTTTGTTTTGTGATGCCTACCCCGGTCGATGGCAGATATGGAATGCTTCCAATTACATGGGGGGGGGGGTCCATACCCTGGAAACACAAACCGAAACTGTCTCTATTTTCCGCTTGTTACAACTTGTAATAAAGTTGTTAAATCTTGGCTTAACGTGTTTATGAGGTATTAGAATGTTGTTACAACTTGCTATATTGGTTGTTATAACTGGTTAGGAAGTGTTAAAACTTGTTCGAACGTTGTACTAACGTCATAGTTTCGGTGTGTGTTTGGCGGGAAGGTCATTGCTCCTCCTGGCCTCTAGGGGGGGGGGGGCAGGCTCTGGCTCTAGTCCCGGGTAGGCAAGAACTCCATGGACTGATACCAGGGACTAATATAAAATCAGCCCGGTAAGCTCTGGGGAGCCTCCGGAGCTCACCCAGAAAATGGCGTTTCATTACATTCAACGCTGTTTTTTTTTTCCTACAGGAAAACCTGTCTGGAGGAGTGGTTGGAGATGTAGTGGCTGCTCTACGGTCTATTGGAGCGAGGATAGCTCCAGACCCACAGTTCGAGTTGGTAAGCTGCACGTCACAGTACTGTTATGTTCCTTGACTCTTGTTCTTGCACAGTGTCCTATCTATGTGTAATTACCTAAGTGTCGTTATAGGATGAGAGTTTCATGGTGCCGCATCTTCCCAGTCATGATGCTTCATCTTCCCAGTATTCTTTGTCATATAACGCTTTGAAACTACTGATGGTTTTGGCCTCCACCACCACCTCACTTGGTCCAACCATCTACTACTCTACAAAATTGAACTTTCAAATGTTTAAGCAGCTCTGTTTCCTTAGTTTGAATAATGGTCGAGTCTGGATGACAGGTCATCAGTAGCCAGTTTACAGAATTTTGCCAAACAAATAAAATTATATATATAAAATACATTGGGATTTTTAAAAATGGGTATTATATGTATGTATAGACCCTAATATGATTAAGAAACAATGCCTTATGTCTTGTCGATACTCATACATGGCTTGGCATTGACATCACTCATCTAGGATCTTTCTTCCTTCGTATTTGCCTTCTGAATAATATTAAGGCCTAACATTGTGACAGACGATACTTTCTCTCTCTCTCTCTCTCTCTCTCTCTCTCTCTCTCTCTCTCTCTCTCTCTCTCTCTCTCTCTCTCTCTCTCTCTCTCTCTCTCTCTCTCTATATATATATATATATATATATATATATATATATATATATATATATATATATATATATATATATATATATATATATATATATATATATATATATATATATATATATATATATATATATATATATATATATATATATATATGATAGCCTTCCAGGCTTGGCACTTTCTTTTGATAATTACTTACCAATGAGCAGAAGCCAAGGAAAGTAAAAATAATAATAATAATAATAATAATAATTGGAGAAAATGAAGACAGGAGGGGAAAATCTAATACTGTAGTCTGAAAATATTGACTACCATCTTAATAGTTCAGGTAAATGATGCCATTGGTGGAGCAAGGCTTTAATTCTTATGAAGAGGGAAACGAACATAGGTTTATTGAAATAGATATAGGTTAACTGAGAGACGTAGGTTGAAAAAGCAGGGTATAGGTTGATTGCGAGAATTGTAGGTTGACTGACAGGTATTTAAATTACATCAGCAAAATGCAAATTGCCAAATTAAACCAAGGGAAACTAGAACCACCCGAAAATATCTTGGTCCACTGCCTGATATTGCTTAAGAAGTTTTCGCAGGAATTTTGGTCTGACATCTGAGGTAATTTTCACCGGAATGTAGAGAGAGCCACCTAGTGGACAATTCAAGTATTAGATACTGCTAAGAAATCAATGGGCACCACCTAGTGGACAGTTCAAGTACAAGATATTGTCACTAAGACAAGAGGAACATCTCTTATATTTGTAGAGTTAGACTATACCTGTGCAAGCCATCCATGCAAATAAAAGTATCCAGGATATGGAACTCGCTCCATAATGAATAAAAAAATTGTCCAACCTGTACTTTAATCAAAAATAGAACCCCAAAATACCTAATTTCATCCTTAGTTTCCCCACCTTGTGCTACTAACTCAAACTATCTTGTGCTTCACACATACCCAATTTAGTACTTAATATATGTAATTTCATCACTATAATCTCTTCTATCAATTTATAATATTGTTAGTACGAACAAATCCATACTTATTTTTTTGTGCAATGTGTGTATAGTTAGTACGTTGAATTCAAAATCTGTTACAATATACTTCTTACATATATTGTTAGCTCAAGAACGTGCCCAAAATGCTATGTATGTTAGAGGCTTTGCAAGAAGGTAACAATTACTTTCAAAACCTGATGTATATAAATGAATAAATTAAAAATCTTTTGGATCATTTACACCTGCAGGTGAGCCCCGAAGCACGGCACTACTTCGCTCTGGCCCAGGATGCCACACTCTACACCGTGGCACCACTTGACTATGAGAGCCACCCCAATCACACGCTTGTGGTGGTCAGTGCCAGGACATCTGATATATTCTATGTTCATGTGAAGGTTTGTTCAAATATTTCTAGCCAAAAGTTGGATAAGAGTGAGCGTGTCAATGTAGGATAAAAGTGATTATAGGAAAGTAGGGTAAGAATGAGTACAGGAAAGTAGGATAAGAATGAGTGAGGTAATGCAGGAATATTCCTTTCCTCACTCCTTTCCAAATGGGATTTCATACAAGGCTTTTAGAATCACATAAATTAAAGTATGAGTGAGATTGAAACCATGGTGTGAGTTCCATGCTGATTGTGACTGATAAATGAGTTACAAAAGTTTGCAGCGAGTTACAAAAATTATTCGCACACCCTCCATCGATGAAGGGCAAAAAGATACGTGAATTCAGAGACAACTTTGTAACAAATGTTCAAGAAATATGTAAATATTTAATTCAAAATTATCTACAACCAGAAATTTTAGGCAAATATTCCCAGTTTGTTAACTGTAGGTAGTAAATGTGACTGAATGTAACCTTTCCATTGCCACCCACTGGATGCAGGGGCAGTGTGCAGGATAAACATATTAATTGAGACACTATCTCTCTCTACTGTATATGAAAGTTGCTTAATTTAGAACCCGCTGTCTTGCGGGTTCAAGACAGACCACTGTACTTGTGGTCTGTCTTGAACCCGCTGTTGATGTAACAATATTCATTAATTTTGTAACTCATGAGGACTGTAATTTGCTTAACCAAATGAATAATGAGGTTCAGTCCCTGAGCCTCCAATGTGCTTCTGTAACTTTTTCCACTACTGCCCACATGATGGATATGGGGTGCATAATATATTAACTAAACTAAGTCACAAAAGCTTGCAATGGATTACAATCAAAATTGTCGATTCCAATTACTATTTTGTTCGCTGTGATCATATTGCCGCTTTTTCATCTATCTTCTAGTTTTGGCATATTTAATACCTCTGACCTCTCCCTATAGTTCTTGTCTTGTAGTTATGGAAGCCATTTATTTGCAGGTTTTTGCACCTTTTCCATTGTGTTGATGTGTTGATGTGCTGCTTAAGATATGGACACCATATAATTGCTGTATTTCTCCATCCATGTATCTAAAAGCAATTCTGAAATTGGAAAGCGTAGCATAGGCTCCTCACACACATATCATTTCATGTTCTTTACGTGGTCCTGGGGGGGGGGGTGTTCTGTTTAGAACCACCCCAAGATTTGAAGTTAACTCAATAAATCAAGTTATCATGGAACAGCATCTTTAAAGTGACATAAGTATTGTACGACAATCTGAATTCTCTTGATTCAACATATTCATATTTTGCTTTCACTTTCTCCCTATATTTTTCTCCTGCATACAAGTCATTTCAGTCACTCATATTCATCACTTGCAGGTAGAAGATGTAAATGACAATGCACCTCAGTTTAATGCTGTGAGTTATGAGGGAATCATCAAAGAGAATGCAGTGTCTGGCACCCAAGTCAGAATACACCCGGCAATCCACGTATGTAAACCCATGCTGGTATACCTCGACTATCTTGTTAGCTCTAACACTCCTCAAAATTTGTTAAATGTAATAATGTACGTACTTTTCTATAAATATATAATTTAACTAAAAACTTATAATTGATGAAAATAAAATCTGAGTTTCTATGCAGAAAATAATTACAACATGATTCAGATATTTCAGATGTGTAAAATATTTCTTACAGGTAATTGACAGAGACAGTTACCAAGGGTCTACTTACAACCTTCAGCTGCTGGGGGACTCTGCTCCTCTTTTTTCTATTGATTCGTCTACTGGTTACATCACCTTCGTTGGCAAGACTTTAGACAGGGAGGTAAAGGAAGCCTATAATCTCCTTTTGGTGGCTCGAGATGACGGGAATCTCACCTCTAATGCGAATCTCACTATTTCAGTTGAAGACATCAATGATAATCCCCCAATATTTACCCAGAGAGAGCCACTGTTCTCTGCAAGAGAGGGTGTTGAAGAAAGTGGATCCAGAAAACTTATTGACTCTTCCCAACTTGCGTATATGGCAGACTTGGAGAGATCACTCATACGTATTCCCGAGTCTCTTCCAATAGGGAATCGAGTTACGCAGCTCATGGCAACAGATGAGGATGAGAAGCTATTTGCAGAAATTCGCTATTCAATTGTGTCTGAAAAGTCATTTAGTTTCTCAGACGGGGAAAATTCTCCTCCAGTGCTCCAGGAAACAAACAGGTTTGCCATCGATGCCAAAACAGGTGTGGTTACAGTTGCCGGAATCCTGGAAGGTGATCACTTTTACTTGATAAACGTCTCTGCTACAGACGGTGGAGGCTTATCATCCTACAGTTCAGTATCAATTGCTGTATTTGATGTCAATGATCATTCGCCTCGTTTTGAGCGTCCTGTCTACAACTTTGAGGTAGTCGAAGGCGAGTATTTAGTAGGCGAAGTTGGGAAGGTATTGGCTTATGACCAAGATAAGGGAAATAATGCTGAAATTCATTATCAAATAATATTTTATAAGAACTCCAGCTACGACCAAGTCTTTCCCTTTAGGGTCGTTGAAACATCTGGTACTATCTTAGCAACTGGATCAGTGGATCGGGAGGAACGTGAAGTGTACGAGTTCTCTGTTGTGGCCACAGACATGGGTGAACCTCAGCTCTCATCCTCAGTCTTAGTTCACATTGATATAATTGATGTCAATGATCATAGTCCTGTTTTCTATGGGTATAAGGAAGTTATATATCCACCTGATGTATTTGAGCATACGTCATTTGAACCCTCGAATGGTAATTTCACCCCAGTGTACATGGCTGTGGTATCTGAAAACACTCCCAAAAATACAATCATTACAAAAATATTTGCCAATGATTCTGACGCCAGTTCTTCAGGAAACGGCATAATACTTTACAAGCTTGAAGGGGGAGAGGACAAGTTTGCCATTGACTCCAAAAATGGCAGTGTGTATACCGTCGGCAAGCTGGACTTTGAGCGCTGGCCGGAGCACAACTTAACAGTACTTGCCCAGGACCACGGGTCTCCGCCCCTTACAGCATCTGCGTTGATCATGGTGGAGGTGACAGATGTCAAGGAGGAGCTCACTACCAGGCTCTTTGATCGCGAAGAATACCGGGTGAGCTTGGCAGTGTTGCATCAAATTGTTTTATCATGACGAATATGCAGTCGTAGGTTTTGCTTGCTTATTTCATGACTAAAGTTAACTCATTTGTTTCTAAATACATAACCATCCCTCCAAAACACAAGAAAGTGATTAGGTTACACTTTTCCTTGTATGGACCAATAGGTCTTCGGCAGTTTCCTTAATTCCTATGTTCATACGTATGTTCTCCCAACAGGTGACTGTAACAGAGAACAACAACACGCCATTGCTACTGGTTGACCTTAACGTGAGTAACTCATATACAGGACATCTCCTCAACTTTCAACTGGTCAACCCAGAGATGACGGGCACAATAGCTGTCGATTCTCACTCTGGAGAGGTATACCTCATTGCCAGCCTTGACCGAGAGACCAAGGACACCTATCACTTCAAAGTATGTAGTAGCAGGTGATTAATTAATTCCCCTCCCCCCCCCCCCAAAAAAAAAATAGTGCTGTATGCATACTATTGTGATTGTGGAAATAATGCAAATATACATGTAGTCTAAATGTACATGTCTAAATTATTATAATTGTATTTTTTTGTTCTATATTTAGTATTTAACGTATTACTCCACCATGTATTACTCCACAATGCTATTACTCCACAATGCTATTACTCCACAATGCTATTACTCCACAATGCTATTACTCCACAATGCATTAATCCACAATGTATTACTCAGTGCACCTCTTGCAATACAGAATGCTGGTTGTTCTCTAATCACTTTGTCCTTTTGATCTCTAGAATTAAAACTACTTTGCAGTCTTACTGTGTGTACCATTTCCCATCCATTTTTTTATTTTATAAATCAACCAATGATATTAGCCAAATGGACTACACAATTCTTGGCATACTCTCGTTTTAATGAATGACGTACTTATCTGCGTGTTTAATGGGGTATGTAATATAATGCAGTCATTATCGATATTACATTTTTGGTCCCTAAAATAATTTGAACGAATAATATAACGGGTTTTGGGGGCATAGTTTCAATGGCAGAAATTGTACATTATCAGTAAAAAAGCAGTGTTGCACAGTAATTTGCATTGGCTATTTTTTATATTATTTACCTTCCTCCTGAAAAGCTGTTGCCATGTTGCACGGTGCTCTCATAGGACGTTCTATCTCATGTAGTCACAAACTTCATTAGTATATGTATCTGTTTACTATACTATCCTACAAGATTGCTTCCCTAGGCAAGATCCCATTCCTGGTTAGGACCTGTCACAATCAAGACTGGTCGACATTTCTTCACACAGACGCTACTAGGAGATTTCCAGCTGTCCCCATCAGGTTGTATACAGGAGGTAGGGAGGATGCATAGGTTAGCTGATAATGTAGAGAGAAAGGTGATTAAATATAAATCCATGTGTTTCTGGTGCAACTTGGCAGTGGATCTCTTGGAACAACCCAACAAGCAAGCTAGAATATTTTAAAGGTTAGGCATGTATATGCATTAGTTTGGGTTGGTATAAAAAAGGAACTATTTTGTATGGGGCAATAGGGCTTCTGGAGTTTTTAATTCCTATGTAATTCTATAGTTTAATAGTAAGCTAGGATGGACGTTTGCAATATGTGTTGCTTTCTAATTTATGTAAAGCCCTTTTAAGTCTGCATTATGGGCTTTGGTGTTCCTCCAGTACAAGTATGACCCGACAAGGATGGCTTAAGTTTCCTGCTGCTCCAGTACGATATGTTTACCCGTTTTATCTTTCCGACTCTGACATATCCTAAGCAAAAGGGATGTAGGATCTTGCCTTTGAGGGAAAGTCTTTGTACAGATCAGAAAAGTGCTTTTCATATATATATACAGTTCAGTACAATGTATTTTCTGGATCTCATATACGTTATGTTCGTAATGTTGCCACAGGTACGAGCAGTCGTGCCTGACAGAGGTCGAGCGTTGGATCATTACTACCAACAAGCAAGAGGTGTGGACTTTCTGGAGTACACAGTCACCTCATCGTCCACCACAGTTTCACGGGCAGGTGATCCCCTGTCGTTCATGGGTGTTGAGGACACTTTAGGCCAACTGACTAATGCTTCAAAGCAGATACGACGAGACTCGGTGACACTACTAAATGTGCCAGCAGAAGTGGAGCCTCTGGAAACTTTCTCAAGATCAAGAACAAGGTTGAAGAACCATCGAAGGACCAGGAACACACATTTCCACCACCTTCCTCGACACATTTCAAGTAAGTTAATTTACAATCTATAGAAAGTGATATTTCACTAGTATCCACTCGATTTAGCGGCCTCTTATTTGCCGATCTGCCGGTTCCATCGACCGGTTTGGGAAACCGGTAACTGGAGCTTCATATACCGGTCTGGCGGTCGATATAACCGTAGGTCGGTATTGGGTTTGTTTTGGCATCGGCGGGGCCTCGCATGACAACACGCCACCGACCTCGAGAGACGTAAATTAAGTATTTTTGGATACCAACCTAAGGGAGAGGGGGAATGAGGGAGGGAGGAGAGGCATTGAGATGGAGAGGCAGGGAGGGATAGAAGCAGCGAGGGAGGGAGAGTGGTGGTGGTGAGGGAGAGTGGTGGTGGTGAGGGAGAGTGGTGGTGGTGAGGAAGAGTGGTGAGGAAGAGTGGTGGTGGTGAGGGAAAGTGGTAGTGGTGGTGATGGTGAGGGAGTGTGTTGGTGGTGGTGAGGGAGGCGGTGGGAAGGATCGCTCACCAAGCAATGGTTACCAAACCCTCCCATCCATACTGTATTAAAATTTTTAATCTAAGCTGTACAATATTTATCCCAAAACATGTAAATTTTCGCGTATTACTATACGTTATTCGTGTATTACTATATGGTATATTGTTTCCGGTTTATTAATGAAACAAATAGTTTTATTTATGAATTATGCACAGTTGGCATCTGCGAGCAGGAGCAGAGAGACTGTCCCTTAGTGGCTTCCTCCTTCATGACATGCCACTCTCATGTTATGAGGAAGGCAGAGAGGCAGTAATGACATCGTAAGCTTGTGGACCACTTATGGACCACACAAGTGGTCTACAAGTGATCCCCTTGTCCACTTGTATGATCCAACTTGTCATATGAAGAAATTATTAATTGTAGCCTGTATGATAGAATGGGAAAGTTTTCCCCACTACTCCGTGAACTGTCCCAACATCGTAAGCTTGTGGACCACTTGTGGACCACTTGTGGACCACTTGTGTGTTCCACTTGTGTGTTCCACTTGTGTGGACCACTTGTGTGGACCACTTGTGTGGACCACTTGTGTGGACCACTTGTGGACCACTTGTGTGGACCACTTGTGTGGACCACTTGTGTGGACCACTTGTGTGTTCCACTTGTGTGTTCCACTTGTGTGGATCACTTGTGGGCCACTTGTGTGTTCCACTTGTGTGATCCAACTTGTGGTCCACTTGTGTGTTCCACTTGTGGTCCACTTGTGTGATCCAACTTGTGGTCCACTTGTGTGATCCAACTTGTGGTCCACTTGTGTGGATCACGTGTGTTCCACTTGTGTGATCCAACTTGTGGTCCACTTGTGTGTTCCACTTGTGTGGATCACGTGTGTTCCACTTGTGTGGATCACTTGTGTTCCACTTGTGTGATCCAACTTGTCATATGAAGGAATTATTAATTGTAACCTGTGATAGGATGGGCACTAACACAGGAACTAACTTGGAATGCAATTAAACAATGAACTTTATTTCATTTTAGTTATATAAAACATATACCTGAATGTTTTTTAAATATTACCGACACTTCAACTTCGGAAATACCGTTGCTCTGCATTAAATAAATAAGGTGGTATTGTTTTTTTTAACAACGTTTATGTTACACTATTAAATTTAACGTTATATTAGGTTAATAATACTATACTGACAAATTTACTTCATATACGTCTTAATTTTGACAATTGATATTGGTGTGAAAATAGTAAATGTACCTCTCTACCACAGGGGTCCATTTTGGAGCCAACCCTTTTTCTCATATACATCAATGTCATTGATGGGAATATTACAAACCTCCTCACCAAATTTGCAGATGATTCTAAGATTTATGATAAAGTAGGAAGTGAAAATGAAATTGAGGCTTTACAAAGAGATCTACATGAACTCCACATATGGTCGAAAGATTGGATTGTATGAGTGAACATACCGCCATAGCAGCACGTACATCCTGCATCATCGTCAGGTCCAGGACGGACCAAAACATAAACACTTCCTTTATATTCAGATTTGTGTGTTAGGCGTAAATTTTCAGCCACGTAATTGTGACTTATTGTCAGCACCTGGATTGTACCTGGATGGGGTTCTGGGATTTCTCCTACTTCCAAGCCCAGCTCGGCGCGAAGCTTGACTTGTGAGAACTTGCCACAATAGGCAGTGTCTTGGAGTAGCCCGCAGACAACACATATCCACCATAGCTTGGTTGGTCTGGCACTTCTTGAAGAAAACTATGCAGTTTTTCTTCAAAACGTACACATTTGTTCCGGCAAAATTTCTTAATCTCGCCTGAAAGATGTTGAACAAACGTGGACCTCTGATGATTATACAGTGTTCTTTGATTGTGCCTGGCACCTATGCTCTTCACTTGGTCTATTCTGCATTTCCTTTCATATTCTTCACTCCAGTATGTTGTTATTTTACTGTATACATTTGGGATCTGACCCTCTAGTATTTTCAATGTGTATATTATTTGATACTCCTATCGTCTCCTTTATAGGGAGTATGTTTGGAGAGCTTTGGGACGATTCCATACCCAGTAGTTTATTGTGTTTATATATGCTGTACATGTCTCTGTAGTCTGCAGAGTACTACTCTGTCTGCAGTATACCATTGTTTCTGCCAACAGAGAGAAGCAGCAACAACTCCCCAAGTGTCCTAATGGATGGGGCTGGGGAGTTAGGGTTGGAAGAGGTGTGGATAACTCTTATAGTTGAGGATCAGAACGATAACTCTCCAATGTTCCTGCCTCAAGGGCGACCCATCGTGGCAGCGGTTCCAACCTCTGCTGCCTACGGGCACTTTGTCACTCGTATCATTGTGAGTATCTGAATCAAATTATCATCTCTTTAGATAACCATGTATGGTACTGCTTAATCACATTCACTGAAATGCATTTTTTAAGAACACACAACACTTTGACTCTATCTTAGAATAGTGGACACTTGGTCCTATTATAGAATAGTAAATTAAATATCAGTACTCTGTATAGGTAAACATATTTAATAAATATCAAATGTATTAACTGAAATATCTATAATGTGAACGTTAATTTGTTAATCATATTTTATAGCAGAATTCATACAAAATGGGATGAGTAATTAAGTTTGATTTTACTAAATTGGTGTCGCATTTAAAATAATAGAATTTACACACTTAAAATTTATCCAACGGCATTTGTTTCATAAAGTGCCAATAAACTATACGTAAAATATAAACAATTTAGTGTCAAACTTTGCATTAAAGTTCTTTTATATGTACAGATATTTATACAGGTATAGATACATATATAGATACATATATATATACATATATAGATATACTATAATACTGATGTAGCTGGATAATAAATGTAAAACCAATGACTAATTGTATTTGGTATGTTAGCTATTTGAAGAACAGAAAAATCAGGTCTGTGCTATTAAAAAAAATAAAAAATCATTCAGGCAGGAATTAACTTCTGGCTAGTTAGTTTCCGTGGTGTAGTGGTAAGACACTCGCCTGGCGTTCCGCGAGCGCTATGTGATGGGTTCGTATCCTGGCCCGGGAGGATTTACTGGGCCCAAATCCTTAACTGTAGTCTCTGTTTCAAAGGGAGCCGGTCGGCCGAGCGGACAGCACTCTGGACTTGTGATCCTGTGGTCCTGGGTTCAATCCCAGGCGCCGGCGAGAAACAATGGGCAGTGTTTCTTTCACCCTATGCCCCTGTTACCTAGCAGTAAAATAGGTACCTGGGTGTTAGTCAGCTGTCACGGGCTGCTTCTTGGGGGTGGAGGTCTGGTCGAGGACCGGGCCGCGGGGAAACTAAAAAGCCCCGAAATCATCTCAAGATAACCTCAAGATAGTCAATAGGTGATCTGATACTCCAACACACACTCACACACAACCTACTAAGAGTACTGGGAAGACGGGACACCACGAGCGTAGCTCTCATCCCGTAACTACACTAAAGTAATTACAACTTTATATACTAAGAAGAAGTTGTATTTACGTTTTGTTCGATTATTATATTCAACATATTTAGGAAGCATCATGACCATTTTTACATAACTTTAACTACTTTGAACGTTGTTTAAAGAAGGTGCTATTCTGAAGAATAGATAACAACATACGTGAAAGGCCTTTCACAGGCACAGACCTCTTGAATCAGTTGAGGTCAGTAAAGAAATGAGTGAGTGAGCCGCTAGGCTCACTCTTATAAACATAAATTTTCTAATAAACTTGGGTAAACTCTGGTAAACTCTGGTAACACACACACGTTCCACAGGCTGGTGATCCAGACCTTGGTGAAAATGGAGAGGTGCGATATGAGATTCTTCCTGGAGAGGGAGCAAAAGACGCCGCCAAGCGGTTTACCGTTGATCCCGCCTCTGGACAGGTATGTACTAAAGAAAGCAATTAGTGATATTCACGTTGATTTATGATGTCAGTTGAATGATTTGATATAATTGGACTGTATATAAACTAATAAATATGATAATTTAGAGCTAAAACATAATGTAGCACAGCTGTCATTACAATCGACTCACATCCAAATGTGTTTGATTCCTGGTCATTTCCTTAAATGTGCTGAACCTTGGTTCACCTAGTAGAAGAGAGGTACCTGGGAGTTAGAGAACTGTTGTGATTTGCATCATATGAAAAGTCATAGTCATTAGCCTAGGATATCCTCGATAAACCTAACCTAACCTAACCTCTGACAATGGGAAAAGGTGAAATTAAAAAAAAAATAATAGGTGACCAGAGTTTTTTTCTTTTTTTTTTCCTCCTCCGCAGGTAGTGGTGGTGGGATCACTGGACAATGACTCTGGGAAGATGTTTGGGTTTGATGTGAGGGCTACTGATAAAGTGGGTGCTCCTACTGGCCGGACAGCTATAGCAAATGTCTTTGTAAGTAGCACAAATACACAAGTTTTATTGTAAGTAGCATAAATGTACAAATGTTTTCTTGTGAATACAAACACACACTTATTTTGTAAGTAGATATGCATCCTTGACTAGTTCCCATTTATATTTATTGTTAATGCCGTGTGTATGACACGTATCAAACATGTCATGTTAAAGTGAATGTTTAGTATTGACACTTAAAACTAGTTTAAGATCAACTAATCATTATATACTAAGCGAGTCTTGTAGATTTATATTAAATCAGATTTACAAAATAACTCTGTCGACTAACCACTATAGAGATCCTGTGCATAAAATCTAATTAAAATATTAAAACAGAGTTGAATGTAATGAAACATCTCTCTCAGGCAGAACTTTAATGGCTCCCTGAAGCATCAGGGTGTCACCAGAAGCTCCTTCAGAAAACAAGAGCTAAATGTAAACTTTCTAGTACAGAAAGTCCAAGTTTTGATTCCATCGAATTTGCAAAGCTGTCAGCTATATGAAGACTGATAGTCTTCTACAAAATGGATGACACAGGTAGTAAAAAAAGAGCTTTGATAATTAAGCAGAGGCTCTGAAGAAGGTATAAATTCACAATCAACATCATAGATTGAGATATATAGATAGGCATTAAATTCACCCACCCAGGAAATCAGCCAAAAAGAAACCACGAAAGAAAACTTGCCAAAAACATAAAACAAAATCCAAGGTCTTTCTATACCTATATAAGAAGTAAAACCAAAACAAGACCTGATAACTAATTTATAATGGACAATAAAAAACAGCTGAATGACTAACACACTGAATGACTACTTTACGCCAGTTTAAACAGTAGAAAGATTAGACTATATCTCTCCCCTACACAAATATTTGAAGGCGAAGAGAATAAATTAAGGGTTATACCCCTAATGTGTGACATAATCAGGAGCATTATTGACAAGCTGAAAAACTCAAAAGGCCCAGATGTGGATGGAAATGAATCCAAAGTCACAAGTCCCCATGCAGTCCCCGTGGCGAAATGTTAAGAAACTTGCCTGGCGTTTTGCGAGTGCTTTGGCCTGGGGTCGTATTCTGGCCGGGGAGGATTTACTGGGGTGCCAATCCTTAACTGTAACCCCTGTTTACCCAACAGTAAAATGGGTACCTGGTTGTTAATTTGGCGGGTTGTATTCCGGGGAACATAGGATTAAGGACTTGTCAGAAACGCTATGCGTGCTAGTACACGAATGTAAGAACTCTTGTATATATAAATAAATAAATAAACAAAAATAAAGGAACTGGCAGATGAATTATGGCTACCACTGAAATTCCCTTTAAGAAAATCTAGGATAGTTTCCCTAGATTGGAAATATACAAATGTCACCCATCATCAAAAAAGGCAGAAAAAGCTCAGTGAAGAACTACCATCCGATCAGTTTAACCTCATACATCTGCAAGTATGGAGAGTATCCTAAGGGAAGGGGATTCATTCACCATCTAAGTGAACACTTATAAAACCCTTGCACCATGGGTGTGTTAATAACAAATCCTGTCTTACAAACCTGTCACATTTTTGGAAATGGTAACTGGCTATTTAGCCAGAGGGGATTCCAATAGATATAGTATACATGGCCTTTGCAAAAGCTTTTGACAAGGTACCACATGAAAGACTAGCAAGGAAATTACAGGCACATGGAATAAATGGTAAAATACTACTGTAGTATGGTAAAATAATGACTAAAAGAAAACAAAGGGTCGTGCTAAATGGGAATAAATCCAACTGGAGAAATATAGTGTGTAGAGTACTGCAAGGGTCCCTTCTGCGTCCAACTTTGTTTTGTCATTTACATCAATGACGTAGATGAGAATATTACAAGCCACATCATCAAACATAAATGACACTTTAGATTTATGGTAAATTGAGAAGTGAAAAGGATATCAAAGCCTTACAAAGAGATCTATATGAACTCCATAAATGATCATAAGACTGGAAAGTGCTTTTCAATAAAAAAAAATGAAAGACCTTATATAATAATCTACATCACAACTATCAAATTAAGAACATTCGCTTGCAGCAGATTGATGAAGAAAAGGACCTTAGAGTCAGAATCCATCATTCACTGAAAGTTGCACAGCAAGTGGGAGCTGCAGTAAGAAAAAACTTTGCAAGCCCTAGGAATAATCAAGCAAACCTTTGACTTTAAGGACAAAAAGGTAAACTCTGTATAAATCAACTGTAATAAATCTAATTCAACTGTATAAATCTTTGGTGTGTCCCCATTTGGGCTAGTGTATCCAAGCATGGAGACCTCATCTTCAAAGAGACATAGCTACTTTGGAGAAAGTCCAAAAACCAGGCAACAAAAATTTTTGCATAACTAAGTTGACTCTCAGACCAGAAACCGTTCAAAGCCACAGGGCTAACAATACTGCAAACCAGATATGATATGGCAGATCTCATTGAAACTTTTAAAATACTGAACAGTTTGGAGGCTATTAATCCAAATAACTTGTTCAAAAGATCAGATGTAACAGAAACAAGGAGCAATGGCTTGAAGCTCAGCAAACCACAATGTAGGACAGAAAACATGAGGTGCTTTTTACCCACAGGGTTATAAATCCATGGAACTGCCTACATACTAAAACCATCAGTGCCAAAACATAGTTGAATGTTAGAATTTGGCTTCTTGTCCTTTTTGAGGCCACAAGTGTGTTAGTGGCCCTCAGGTAAATTCAGAACAGAACACTTTTCCCACAGGTGTATGTGATCGGTGCTGGGGGTCACCTGGTACTGGAGGTGGGAGCCACACCCAGAGATGTTGAGCCACATCTTCTTCACATCCAGGGGTGAGTGTGTAGTGTATGTGTTACTTAATATTTGTGAACTCTCCCTTACCTAGGGGGAGCCCCTTCGGGTTTCTGGAGCCATCCGGGTTGATATGAATATATTAGACCCTGACATCAAAGCAAATGGAGCTCTAGGCCTACAGGGGACCATGAGCCAGAACCTGGCCCCCCTCAGAGAGGCATGAGGAGCAATGGCCTATACAGATCCCTGTATGGTTGAAAGCATTCTATGTCTGCAATCGATCGGGTCAGGCACCCAGAAAGGTGGGCGCCCCAAAACAAACCTTATCTGGTTAAACAAAATTGCTACAGAAAGCTAAACTGTCGGAAAGAACTTTCCAAACGAAAAACGTGCAAACGAGCATGAAGTCACAACCGTCACTGTGGTGCCTTCTGAGCAGCTTCCCCCTCCCAGAGAGGAGGAAGAGGGAGCCCCAGACCCCCACGCTGGCTGTCCACACCCCCAATTCTGTGGCTGATGTGAGACCTGGCAGTCGTATGATTCCGTCTCCGAAACTTTCCAGTGCTGTGCCTTGTGGTGTGGTTCTGTCTAAGTGGTGGTGTGTGAGCCAGGAGTACTGTAAACTGTACTCAGGCTGCATGCACCTACGGTTACCTTCCCTAGGTTCCCTGTAAGTATTGCCCTTGTGGCTTGGGGTTGTCTTCCACAAGTCGCTTGGGGGTTACCTCGCTGTGGTAACAATGAAGGGCGGTGATTGCTCGCCCTTGAGGTCAGCTGGGGTGTTTCATGCACCACTGTTTGTCTCTGGGTAGGAGGTAACGTCGACACTGGTAGAGGCGCAAGGTACTGTCCAGCTTGTTTTCACCGAATTACAGCAGTCGGCTTTGCTCCACCTGGGTCGTTGTGAACTTGCGGGGTTTTTCTTTTGTTTTTCATTCCTGGTGGGGGGTCTGCCGCTTGGTGTTGGTACCCATTATATATATTGGTGGTCATCCACTAGGTCCCCGTGAGTGTACACGTCTCGGGGGTTCAGCTTTTAGCAGTTTGTTTGGTAGGTTGGGGCACCGGTTAGCAGTACCTCGCCTGGTTTTCCCTGAGCAGAGTGTCTAAGGGTCCTGTAAAACCCCACTAGGGTTCAGTGGTCCAATGGATGCGTCCCCCTGGGTCCTATCTCGCTTCGTGCGAGTTTAAAGGCTGCTCTGTCTCCTTGTCTCAGGGTGACAATGACCTGTTGAACCTCTGTCATGCTGCCTGTTGATTCGGCAAGGTCATGCGAGCGGTGTTGCATGTACTCCACTTCACTTAGTACAATGATATTCGGGTGCAGGTGGCTTCGACATTGCATGCGCGTTAATGGTTGCTGCAGCATGCTAGGTTGGTTGATCACCCAGATGCCCCGAGGCTGCCCTGTTTTGGTTATAGGGACCCGAACTTTGGAGTGTTTGTCGCCTCGATTTTGGGTTCGTTCGCGCCCTCTTGTTCTTCCCCTGCTGCTGTTCGTCCCGTTCCTCTGCCCCTGCTTTCGGCTCTGAAGCATCTGAGGGCATTGGAGTCGGGGCAGGGTTTAGTTGGTGGTGAGCCTCAGGCAGTTTCGGGCGATTCTCCATCCGGTGTGGCGACAGAGGCATTCGAGCCAGTTCCTCCAGTTGGTGCTTTTGGGTCTGACCAGTGGGCCTCCTTCGTTCCAGCTTTTCCGGCGGCTTCTGTCTTTTCTTTTGAGGCACAGGGTTTGGAGGACGACTCGACCCTGGGTCCTGATGTTAAGGCTCCTGGGATGGGGAAAGGGTTGTCTTGGGGGCCCTGGGCCCCATTTGACCCCGCTTGGGTTTTGGTTCCCACTGAGCAGGGCTTGTTGTTGCAAGGGGTGGGGTTTCCCCCCCCCCCTCCTTGTACGAGTTTGATAAGGCATCAACCCCACTCCGGGTTCAGTTCCGGGTTCCCTTGGGTACTTCGGCCCCGTCTTTCTGGAGGTTTTCGGCCTCCCCCCCCCTCTTGAGGTGAGGGAGGCCCTCGCGGCGTACCTCCTGCTGACCCGAATTACGCCTTGATAATTTATCCTGGCTCTTGAGTTTGGTTCTCCCTTTCTTTACTGGGTTCATTATGAGGTTCTGGAGTCGTCCTGGTTGGCAGACTGTCTGATCTTTTCGTTGGGGGCGTGGCATCATACGTTGTTGTTTTCACACGTTTGAGTGGCAAGAGGCTCTTACCGTTGTTCAGGTTTACCTGGGGGGGCGAATTTGAATGCCTCAATTCGTGTTTATCCGCCCTTGTCCTTCAGCGGGATGTCGGCCAGGTGCAGCTTCACATGCAGGTTTTCTCCCTTTTGGCGGCTCAGGTAGCTTAGGACTTGCGTGCCCGTGGCCACTTGACTTCGGTTTCTTTTCTCTTCACAAGCTGTCTTCAGACTGGTTTGAGGAGGATGTGCAGGCGCTGGATGCTAATCCTGGGTCTGGTGCACTGGTCTCAGTGGTGCAGGCGTCGGCTGCAGTGTTGATGCAGTTTGCGCTGATCCTGCGAGAGGCGATGTCTCTGTTCTTTGCTTCTCGTCTGGCGTGCCATCAGGCGGTGCTTGCTCAGTCCTTGGAATCCGTTTGGGCCCCTGGCTCTTAGGTTTTCGCCGACTTTTTGTCCTTTGCTGTTTGCAGAGTCTGTGGTGGTGGTGGTGCAGTATCTGCAAGCGGCCTCTTCTAGTTGTCTTCCAATGTCGGACTTGTTGCTTCTCAGGCCTGTGGGGTTCTTCCCAGATGGGTCGTGCCAAGGCTTGGGGTTCCTCTCATCATAGTAGACCAGTGGTGCCAGTTTTGGGGCCAGCGCAGCCTTCAGAACCGACGAGTCTGGTCAGTGTAGTGATCGCTCCGTTCCTCACTCGGTTTCTCATAAGGGGTGTCGGCTCTTTTACGGTTCGTCCCATTGATGGGGGCGATTGGAGGCTCGCACTGTTTGCACATGCCTGGTCCCCATATTCGTGGGCGTTTCAGCTAGGTCGTCTCTTGCAGCCTTAGGTGGCGTTGGGTGGCCCGTTCTCCTTCAGAGGGTGGGAGGTTTGGGGCTGGTGGGGCAGGCTGCTTCTCCTGTGCTCTGTCGGGTTATATTGGAGTGGGTTTGCTTGGTCGTGGTTGAAACGACCTTGTCCCTCAATTGGGCTTCTCGCCTGTTTCCTGTTTCAGAATGGGACTGCGCGGACCTGTGATTCATTCTGGACTTGTTCTATCTGAACCCCTGGGTTTATTGCCCATCCTTTCGCATGACTACGACTTCGTTGCCTCCATTTGGCTTGAATCTGACACCTCGCATGTTCATGTGCCTTACCCAGGTCATTGTGGCTTGTTTGCGTCTGTTGGGTTCGGGTTCTGGCCTAACTCGACGACTGGCTGGTGTGGGGTCCCAACAACTTTGCGTGTCTGCTCACCAGGGATTTGGTTCTTTCCCTGCTCGCCGGGTTTGGGTTCCTGGTGAACTGGAGGAGATCCCATCTGTTTCCCTCTTAGGTTTGGTCTTGGCTGGATCTTGTGTGGGACCGCTTATCTGTTTCTCCCTCTGGAAGCTCTGCCGCGGCTGCAGTCCCACCTTCACCTGTTTTAGGGGGGCTACCGGGTCACGAGGCAATTGCTTGAGGTATTGGGCGAGAGTCTGAAATTTACTGTGTTGGTCTACCCGCTGGGTCAGGTTTGGCTTTGGCGGCTGTTCTGGTTCTTTCAGGAACGTCCCTTCCACGCCTCTCGCGATCACTGGGTTCGGCCTTCGAGTACCTTACGTCGGCTGCTGCGTCATCGGCTTCCTCTTCGGGAATTTTTCGAAGTTCAATGCCTCGGCGCCTACCCGAGTCCTCACTCAATGTGTTAACGGACGCGTCGTCTCTTGGCTGGGGCTCTGTGACCAGTGCTCACCAGGCCGGCCTGGGGCGGTGGGGTCCATCCTTCCGTCAAGCCCACAGCATGGTGCGGGAGTTCACAATGGTGTGTATGTCACTTCGGAGGGTTCGTGTTGCTTGTGGATCGATGATCCGGCACTATTTGGACTGCTCCACAATGGTTCATTGTCTGAACTGCAGGGGTTCGATGCAGTCCTTGGCTTTTTGGGGCTGGTCGCTTTGGGTGACTCGTCTGCTGAGTTCTTGGGATTTGGCACTCCTGGCTATTTACATTCGGGGAGGTGGGTGTCCAACGTCCTGGCAGACTGCCTGTCTCTGTTCATTCCCCTGTCAATGGAATGGACGGTCGATGCCGACTCATTCAGTTGGCTCTGTCGAATGTACAGGCTCCCAGTGGTGGGCCTCTTCATGTCAGTGTGGTCGAGGTGTCTCCCGGTATATGTGGCACCCTTCCCTGACTGTGAGGCCGTTGGGGTCAATGCCTTCAGGCTGGACTGGTTGAGGTGGGGTTACCTGTAAATCTTCCCCCCAGTTCTGGTGTTGGTCCATGTCCTAGCTCGCTTGGGGATTTACCAGGGAAGAGTTCCTTGGTGGCAGGCCCAGCCTTGGTTTCAGGTTCTGCTTTTTCTGTGTCCGATCCCGGGGATCATCCCGCGGCTCCACCTCTATCAATATATCAGGCCTGCCCGTTACGTGGCTGCTTCGATCTTCTCCAACTCTTCGTGTCTGATCTTTCTGACGCGGGTCTACCACCATTTGTATGGTGAGCAGGTGGCTTCGTTGGTGGTGTCCTATCTGCGAGTCTCGTCTCGGCAGCAGTATGAAGTTTCCTGGCGGTCCTTTCGTTATTCCTTGTCCCTTCATAGAATTTCTTGTTTCAGATCGGGTTGTCTTGTCCTTCCTGTCTTCATTGTTTCAGGACCGTCATCTTATGCTGATACTGTCGCCTCGTATTGTGTGGCGCTGGCAGAGCCACTTCAAATTGCATTCGGGGTGGATGCTACTTCTGCTCCGTTCTGCAACCTGTCAGCCTGCTTATGCACTGCCTGAGCCGTCCTGATCGTTGGACCGGGAGCTCTCTTTTCTATCTTCTCCTTGGTTTGTTGTAGCCCCTTCGATTCAAGTTTGTTTTGCGAAGGCTCTTTTCCTGTTGGCATTGGCCTCTGGGGGTCAGGTTGGGGAGCTTCATGCTTTTCTCCAACACAGAGGTTTCTGCTCTTTTGATCCTGGTGGTAGGTTTGCTCGTTTGCAGCCATCTCCTTTTCTGGCGAAGAATGAGACTGCTGCTTTCCGAGGGGTCCATGGATTGTTGATGCTTGGTTGGTTGGTTTGGGAATACATCATGTCTTGTGTCCGATTGCGGCTCTTCGTCGTTATCTGCGCGCCACGGCCTCGGTGGCCGGGGACGTGCTTTAGGTTGACCTGGTTTCCCTTCTTCCCTGTTCCAGGGTTCGGGTCTCCCAGGTCGGCCACAGAGTTATGCGATCTAGCCGGCTTGCAGTCTATCCTCGTGCCCATGACGTTCGTAAGTTTGTTGCATTGGCTACCATCTTCGGTAACGTCTTGGGCTGACACTCAGGGCACGGGGTTTTTGGAGGTCGAACAGGGTCCTGACTGCTCGCTACCTAGTCAATGTTCCTGGCCCAAATCGGGCATGTGTTGCATTGGGTCGACGGTTGCAGTCAGTTGTTTCGACTCTGAGTTCAGGAGACCCCGGTAAGGCCCTCTTGTTTTCTCTTTGGTTAAGTAGCTCCGGAAAGCTGAAGGGGCTTCCCCCCTTCCCAGAAAACTAGTGTTGATTGTAATGAAATGCCATTTTTCTGGATGAGACCCAGACGCTCTCCTGGCAACCCTCCCTCCGGTTGGCAGTGTTCATGTGTTTTGACACCCAGCCTCATAACTAGGGGTGTGGATAGCCAGTGCGGGGGTTGGGGTTCCCCCTTCCCCCTCCTGGAGAGGGAGGAGCTGCGCAGATGGCGGCACAGTGACGGTTGTAACGTCATGCTCTTTTGCTCGTTTTTCGTTTGGGGAGTTCTGTCCAACAGTTTGGCTTTCTATAGCAATTTTGTTAAACCAGATAGGGTTTGTTTTGGGGCGCCTACCTTTCTAGGTGCCTGACTCGGTCGATGGCCGACATAGAATACATTCAACCACACAGGGGTTGTTTTGGTCCCCATTAGCTCCGCCTCTGTATTCCATTCGGCTCCGGGTTTTTCGCAGATCCGCCTCTTCCAGCAGGTCGGACCAGTGCAGTACACGGCTGATTCGATCTTCTCCGTTCTTCGCGTCTGGTCTTTTTGATGCGAGTTTATCACCATTTGTATCGTGATCAGGTGGCTTCATTGTTGGTGCCCCCCCCCCAGTAGGCTGAACTCCATAGACTAATGCCCTGGTCTAATGTACTACATATTAGCCCGATAGTGAGTTTTCCTGTAGAATAATTCATGTCGGAAATTATGTTCAGCTTTGTTGTTTTTGGTATACTGTAATTTTTTCCTTATATTTTTCAAAATAAATTAACCCCACCTGTCATTCATTTTCAACCAACAATTTGCAAGCATGATATTAGTTGCTATTAACAGTGATTATATACAGCATGGACAGGCTGGACCTGCCAGCCAGCCTGTTTATTAAAGTTAAACTAACTTTTCTAACTTGACAACTAATAGTGACTTAACATTTCATTTATTTCGATTCTAAGCTGATTATTTTATGTTGCATTTAGCTAACTTTTCAAATTTCTTCAAACTATTTTATTTATTTTTTGTTGGAGAAAGGGGCCTGTTACTTTATTTGCCACAACATTCAAAATAAAGGGGTACCCCATGAACCTAGCCAATCTGTGCATAGAAAATGTGGATATTTTTGAGCTACAGCTTTTCATAGTAACCCCAATTTTGTGTTGGGAACCATAACATAGAAAATGAGATGCATTGGTTGGAAGTATTGTGTTAATGGCAAATTCATATTAGATATAGTACCTTATTTCTGACGTTGGATGCTGAGACAATGCTTCTTATATACACAATATAAGTTTCGGGGTGCTGCCCGAAACGCTTTGCGTAATAGTGGCTTTAGGCATTGTATGTACTAGTTCTATCTATAAAGCCAACAAACTTTGTAAAATCTCTTTATGTATGTACCTTACCTAAATAAAAATTATTATTATTATTAATGAAATCTCAAAGTATTGCATATACGAGAAAATAATTGGTTATACTGTGCAAAGGGATCGAACCTATAATACTAAAGGTGTCCAGGGATACAGTTTCGATCCCAGTGTCTGGTCTCAATATTTTAATTTTTGTTATAGTACAAAAAAAAATGTTTTTCAGGATGCTGACAAATGTGTCTGGGTTGGATGTAAGAGTGCAGAGAATTGCTCCTCATGTGGATGGTGATGCTGCACACACTACTGCGTAAGTATAGCTCCCTGGATGTTTGTGGTGTGATCATCCCTCGATGATTATATATATATATATATATATATATATATATATATATATATATATATATATATATATATATATATATATATATATATATATATTTATGTCCGGTCGTGATGGTCAAGCGGATTAAGGCGTCCCTGTACATACCAGTGTATATATATATATATATAAACACACACACTCACACAGAGTGGAACTTCAGGTGGCGAACGTCCCTCTTTACATATTTTTGGGTTACAAACTCATTTTCCTGGGTTACGATCTTTGCCTCACCTTGCGACTGTGTTGATACAGTACACGTATGGATCGACCAAGCGCGTGGTTCCTGGTGGCATGGGCGAGGTGTGCTTAAGTTTACAATGTCTCCCGCCTAGTAACGATTACGCTTGAATATTGTATTTGGGATTACAACAGGATGGATGGTGGGGGGAACTGGATGGATGGATGGATGGATGGGGGAACTGGATGGATGGATGGTGGGGAAACCGGCTGTATGGGAGGCGAGTAGGATGGGAAAGAAAATGTTTCATAATCACCAGCCCTAGAATCATGTAAGGGAAGAACACGTGGAGGGCGAGTGGGTGGGCAGGTGATAATGGCTGGATGAGTAGCAGGCCGAGCGGCAAAGTGGGTGGATAGGCGGGCAGCAGTGGTCGGGCAGGTGTCAGTGTGTGTAAGCGGGCAGCAGTGGGTATAGTGGGTGGGCGTGCAGGCAGCAGAAAGAGCCGGCAGCAGATGGTAGACTGAGGAGGTGGGTAGCAGGGCGGTCAGGAGACAGTGTTTGGGCAGATGAGTAGCAGGACGGGCGGCAGAGTAGGAGGGTAGCAGAGGCCGTGGCGTGAGTGGCCGAGCTTCCGACTAGGACTAACACAGGACCAGCTCCTATGTTAGCCCTAGTCGGAAGCTCTGCCACTCACGCCACCGCCTCTACTCCCACCCACTTTGTCACCGAGCTTAAAGATATTGCCAAAGTGATTACCTTACATAAATTGTCTGTAATCTTACCCAACACACATTGCCTATGTTCTTCATAACATGCATATGTTTGTTATTTTTAAAGTTTTAATAATACAGGATTGTTTGTGTTATGATTTTACAGGACAGATGTATATGTGTATGCTGTTGACCCAGCAACACAGGCCGTGGTTGAGGCTGCACAGTTACGACAGGCTCTCAGAGGAAGAAAAGGTCAGCTAAGGTCCTTACTGCCATCTGGACTCCTGTTTAAAGGGATGAGATTGTCTCTGCCATCAAAACAAGGGCATGTGCTTCAGGTCAGTGGACGAGGACTTTTTATTTATAGCAACTTTGCCTCATCTGGAGGTGTTTTCTCACGAGAAAAGATGCTAATTATGGACAGTAGTTGGTTTAAATTTATTTTTCATATTACTAGTTATTAAAAGGCATGATTTTGTGATACACATTGTAATCAGTAATGATTTTTTCTTATTTTTTTCAAATGTCTTTGAAAATTTAGTTCTTGCATTAAAATGTTATAGATCAAATAGATGGTGTTCAGGATCTCCACTTAAACCATTTTCTGATTTGAATCTTGACCATTTAACAAAAAAGTGAGAAACTCATTTTAAAATCCATTCATTGTAAGGATATTTAATTCTTTTAAGTGAAAAATATGTATATATTTGTGTGTGTATATATATATATATATATATATATATATATATATATATATATATATATATATATATATATATATATATATATATATATATATATATATATATATATATATGTGTATATATATATATATATATATATATATATATATATATATATATATATATATATATATATATATATATATATATATATATATATATATATATATATATATATATATATATATATATGAGAGAGAGAGAGAGAAACTTTTAGACACACAACACCCACCAGGGGACTTGAACCCTGGCCACCAAGATGGCAGGTACGCACTTATACCCACTGCACCATACTCAGAGCCCCTAAAAGAGGTTTCCTGCCCGAAACGCATTGCGTAATAGTGGCTTTAGGCATTGTATGTACTAGCTCTATCTATATATTGATCCATCAATGTAACATCACTTGTATGTATGTACCTTTCCTGAATAAACATATTTATTTATTTATTTATTTAGGTGGGAATTCTGGGGTATTTAACTCCCAGACAACTCATCCTCTCCAGGCAATGGTATAGTGAGAGGCAATTAACGTTTTCTATCAAGCCCTGTTATATGGGAGAACACGTGGTCCATGCTTAATGCATACACTTGCCTAAACACGCAAGGTAGAAGTATATATATATATATATATATATATATATATATATATATATATATATATATATATATATATATATATATATATATATATTTATATATATATATATATAATCGTATTGAAATGCGAGATATTAGAGAGGGGAGGGAGGGGGCGTGTGGATGAGAGATGTCGAGTTAAATGACTGCATAAATATTCAGGTATTTTAATATATAAAAGGTATTACATGGACCATTCAAGCTTGTGAAAGTTAATGTCATAAAGTATCAAACACTGATAATAGTGTAGTTAACAAATTATGTCTTATATGGACTTTGATGCAAATGCAAAATTAGAATGTTACAAACATTATGGGAAATTCACATTTTAGGTTGTCTTGTCTATTTTTGGCTGTTGTATTGATGTTATTTTATTTTTAACCAGTGTAAACATTCCAGTTATTATGCACCTGATATCCATGGGGGAGGCAGTAACATTGATCTTTCTTTCCATGTGCTAGACTGCGGAATTAGCCATCCTGGTTGGAGCTGTGGTGGTGTTTTTAGCCACTATAATGGCCATTGCTTGTCTCTGCTATAAGCAGCGTAAAAGGTAACAAATATTATTTATCTAACATATTACTTATTTATCTAATGTACAAATCCTAAATTAATGTGATGGATAATTTTAACTGTGCTTTTGGGCCAATTTTGTACATAACGAATTATGAGTTATAATATAGAGTAATAATTTTGTGAAGTACTATTTTGAGTACTCATTAAGTACACTGAAGTTAAATTACAATCAACTTGTATATATTGTCTGCTGACATTGACAACTTCTGCCCTGTTCTCCATAAGACGTCGCAAGCCTATGCCACTACCACCAATGATGACTGCCAATGGAGTGCCTGTGATGCCTTTGGCTTACCCTGGTCCATTTGCTGCCCCATACACCCACATGAGCGACCACAGCAGTGCAGACTCGACAGAAGCCCAGGAACTGACTCCAGACCATCTGCAATACTGCCAAGATGTGTGCTGCTACCCCCAGGACCTAGCTCGTTATCCTCACCCACAACAGAGAAGACGCTGTGGAGCTCATACTCATCACTCTGATCATGAGGTAAATAGATCCTTAAGTCTTCATCCTGTCTCCTGTATTTTCTATCGTACATTCTCTTCATAGTGTACCGTTATATATAAAGTCTAATGCACCTGCAAGGCTACTCCTGAAATATGGTTTAAACATGGACATAATATATATTTATGGTTATGTTAACAGAATGCAAATTCGTAATTGTGAACTGAAATGTGGCTTCTTCAGTTGCAGGGACCGTCCCACGATGACGATGACGACACTGTTCCAGTGTGTTCCCGCCATGCTCCGTCCCGCAAGCGGCGCAGGAGCTCTCATACCGGCGGGGTCCATCCCCACGGACACGTCAGACGGTGTTCCTCGAGGATCACTGCTTCATTCCAAGAGGAACCCTCGAGTTCAGATTTAGACGAGCGGGACCACGCACCTGCTCAGGTCACCATTCCAAAACCGCCACCATGTTGCTCTGATGACAGGTAATGGCGGGGTCTGTCTGACATCCACTCCCTCCCCTCCTCCCCACCCCTTACCTACCCCCTCCTTCCCCACCCCTACCTACCCCCTCCCCCCTCCCCCCCCCCCCCCCCCCCCTCCCCCCCCCCCCCCCCCCCCCTCCCCCCCCCTTCCCCCCCCTTCCCCCTCTACCCTCCCTATAACGTATCTCCAATGTATCACCAACGATGCCACCACCACCATGTGAGTTGTTACTAATTATGACTAAATCTTAGTTACCTAAAACTACATAATGCTGCCGCCACCTTTGACTTTGATGAACATAAGTACTTAACAGTGACCGGTGTGTGAGGGTGCCGGTTACGGGGGTGTTAAGGTGGCACAAAGCGGGGGGGGGGGGGACACGGTCGCTTTCCACTCTACTGGTAACTCTCTATGACTGACTAACAGGAACGAATGGACACACCAGAAAGACAATTTAGTAATATATATTTATTTAACACTTTAGCCACCCAAGAGATGGCACGGGCATGAATAGCCCGTAACCCTCTCCCTCGTTGTTGTTGTTTTAGATTCAACTACTTGGAACAAAAGTGCCTACTTGGTGGAACCGCCTCCCCCACCCTCCACCTCCTTCTCATTCTCATTCTCCCCCCCCCCCTCCTCCCCTCCTTAGTAACTTTAGTCTCTGTTCCTGCAGGCAGCGTGCAGGCGTGAGCAAGCTCCGCGCACTGCCAGCTGTAGACTGCTCGCTGGGGTCGTCAACAAGGCCGCACTCCCCAGACAGCTTAGAGTGCCCTCCCCATAGTCACATCCGGAGCCACAGCCAAGCCCACATACACACCATTCCTCGCACTCACCTGAAGAGAGAAAAAACAGACCACGGAGGAAGAGGTGGAGGGACCAAGGCTCTTCTGGGCAGTGATGTGACAGAGTTATAGCCTCTAAGACATTTAGTTTAGAAAAGACTTGGTACTTTGTATGTCACAATTTATATCATAATTTACCAAATTATTCAAGTTGCTATAGGAGATATAAACATCAGGAATGTTATCTTTTCATATCAGTTACTCCTGTATTACTATGCAAATAAAAATGTTAAATTGTTAGTGTATTTTTGTAGTGGTATGGATGTTTGAGGCGCCAGGTTAGTTACCCATAATACTAATACTGTTAATATAGTAGTAACAGTTTAAAATTATGACTGCTTGAGCCCTATTGACTTCAACATTAATGATGATCATTCACACTGTGATTTATTCATGTTACTTCCCGGTTTGGTGCCTTCTTTTGATAATTACCTTACCTTACCTTATTCATGTTACTTAGCTTGCTTTCCATTCATGTGAATTAGTCTTATCCCAGCCCAGTCTTCAATATTGCTACCCTGTCTCTACATACCAGTCGAGGTAAACCTTACTTTCATTCGGGATCATACCTGGAAGGTCCCAAATGTGACTCCTCATGGCAGGACAAAGTTTATTGTCATTTGATGCCTTTATTCACCAAGCAAAAAATAATTGCTTATGAGTTATGCAGCTATTGTGGGTGTCATTCTGGGCATTGTTAAGCCTGTGGTTTCAATAAGCTTCTCGTGTGCTATACTCGGGAGAGCAAATGATTTTGAATTCACAAAGTACATGACTGTGGAGCAGCAATCCACAACTTGCATATTAAGCTAAAAATTATTCACCGATTAGGAAAGACTAACCACTTGAACGTTGACTATATATGATTTTCCAGGTGGTTCGAGCTATATGAATAGGTCAGATGTAATTTTTTTTTTTGGGTGACTGGAAATAATGCTTAACTACATCATCATCTGTGCTCAATATTAAAAGGCAGTGTGAGGATAATAAGTATGGTAACTCTTTTGATATTAATTCCGACTCTAAGATATCATTTTTACTAAGATAGTTCATTTTTGTCTTTTCCATATTTATAGACCTGTGTCGCTAGTTTGGTGTGTCCCAGTTCTAGTCTGGTCATTGTTATATCTATTTCTGTTTTTATACCTGGCATGTTTCCAAGTTTCCCCCAATGTCTTTCATAGTTCCATAACATAATGAAGAGCATGACATGTACTATTTTCCTGCAAAGTCTTGGGTGATGGTAGAGTTCTGGGTCTCCTACCACAACAATTTTGGGAATTAGATGTGTAATGCGTGAATTGCTTTTTGCTAGTTGATCTACAAGTTCATTCTGGAGTATTCCACAGTGGGCTGGGACTTACCTCTCTGGAAAGAAAGTTGAAGGTCATCAGTTGCCTTTCCAATGAGACTAGAGGTTGTTGCCACACATCATAGATGCTCTCTAGCATTTTTACGTCAAAACGACGTGAAGAAAGCTTCTCTCTGTCTTGTTCACCTCTTCTTAATTCCCTGCTGTTTCACTAGAATCTGAAAAATGCATATTATATAATTTACTTAAATATATATTCATTGACCTGTACAAAATCAGACAATATGCCTATTCTATATAAAGCACACAATCTTAAATTTTAAACATCATCAGGTTAGCAGCAAAAATGTTTTAGGGAGCCTATATGCCCCATTTTGCATCGAGAATAGTGGTTTTCGCTAATATGGAACAGGAAGTCTGTTAATTACTTAGCTTTGGTCACTAACTTTCAAGATTATAATAGATGACAGAGTACCATACTACTCTAGACTGTAAATACAAAACAGCCACTCTTACTAACTTCTTAAAGAAATTATCTGATCACTACAACCAAAGATTTTATATATATATATATATATATATATATATATATATATATATATATATATATATATATATATATATATATATATATATATATATTTATATATATATATATATATATATATATATATATTTATATATATATATATTTATATATATATATATTTATATATATATATATTATATATATATATATATATATATATATATATATATATATATATATATATATATATATATATATTTATATATATATATATATATATATATATATTTATATATATATATATTATATATATATATATTTATATATATATATATATTTATATATATATATATATTTATATATATATATATATATTTTATATATATATATATTTATATATATATATATATATTATATATATATATATATTTATATATATATATATTTATATATATATATATTTATATATATTTATATATATATATATATATATATATATATATATATATATATATATATATAATATGTACCTAGTAGCCAGAACGCACTTCTCAGCCTACTATGCAAGGCCCAATTTGCCTAATAAGCAAAGTTTTCATGAATTAATTGTTTTTCGACTACCTAACCTACCTAACCTAACCTACCTAACCTAACCTAACCTAACCTAACTTTTTCGGCTACCGAACCTAACCTAACCTATAAAGATAGGTTAGGTTAGGTAGGGTTGGTTAGGTTCGGTCTTATATCTACATTAATTTTAACTCTAATAACAAAAATTGACTTCATACATAATGAAATGGGTTGCTTTATCATTTCATAAAAGAAAAATTAGAGAAAATATATTAATTCAGGAAAACTTGGCTTATTAGGCAAATCGGGCCTTGCATAGTAGGCATAGAAGTGCGTTCTGGCTACTAGGTACGACATATATATATATATATATATATATATATATATATATATATATATATATATATATATATATATATATATATATATATAATATACACAGCTGCTTGATATTTTTGTGATTAATTCCCCAATGTCATTACAAAAGTAACCATTATATTGCCAGTAATATTGGCATATAGCAAGGCATCGATCATTTTAAACAAGGCATGCCTCAACCGGACAGGTTTACCGAGATGCCATACATTTGTATATGGTTCTTTGGGATTCAGGAGAGATATGGCAACAATGATGAAAGGCATTAATGAGGAAATACTGGAAGCTATTATTTATTTTGGAAATCAGTAAATTGGATGTTGATTATATTCCCTGTTTTATTAAGTCATTGGACGTGCCAAATGGAATACGTATTAATTTTGTGAAGGAAAGTACTGTATTTTGTTTAAAGGCACTTTCTTATTACAAAACCTGTGAAATTTGTAGTTATTGAAAAGGTCAGAATATGACCACACACAGAGATCACACTGACGTGATGCATCAAATGAACAAATCCACAAGGGGCGTGACGAGGATCGGCCCTCGTCACGGCCCTTGTGGATTTGTTCATTTGATGCATCACGTTAGTGTGATCTCTGTGTGTGATGATGTAAGGGCGAAGAGGGAGAACGGCCTATTGACATAGCTCGGGTGCGGGGGGGGGAGGTTGTGTAAAAGCCTAGTTTGTGCCTCGGAGAGGCTACGGGATCCAGTAAGTTCAGTAGAACTTCGGTTTCAACCTTTTTAACCCTTTCGTAGCTCAGTCGATTAAGGCAGTGTCTGGGATGCTCCCGGACGCAGGTTCGTATCCTCGTCACGGCCCTTGTGGATTTGTTCGTCAGAACATGACTTTTTAAACTAAGAAAAAAAGTCTAATTAAGATTAAATTTTATTTCGGGCTAGAATATTTTTTTAGATGGCAAGTCACAGTAATGTGGCTGAAAATTAGGCACCTAACTTGCACATCTGAAAAGAAAGGATTGACATTTCGATCCGTCCTGAGTTGATTTGGTAAAGGTCCAGAATGAATCAAAATGTCGTCAATCCCATCTTCTCAAATTTGTGGGTTGGGTATCTAAAATTATTTTTGTTTTGAGATTGAAGGATATTTAAAGAGTATATAAACTCACTAACATGTAATATGGTATCCCAACTCAACGTATGAAAAATTAAAAAACAATATTTTACAATATATATATAATGTACTATAAAAATTGTATGCATTTTACTTTTATAATACTTGTGTGAAGGATATTTTTGTAATATAAAAAATATATGCATTTTGATAGCGTTAATAAAAAAGCTTCTATAATTTTTGTACATGGCCTTTCTAAGGCCAAGAAAATGCTACAAACTCGATGTAGAATGACAGTGTTTATGTGCTTTGATACAAAGGACAACACATGTAATTTTTTTACAAATGCAAGAATAATTCTGCTCTTGTTTCAATCAGTAAAACTATGGATAAAACATTTACAGATATTTTTGTAAATTTTGTATGAGTATTTCTAAAACATATTTGTTTACCTTTTATAAGAGGCAGTAGTATTTGGTAATAGGTATTATTGTAATGTGTTAAAAGAAACATTTTAGACTTGTGTACATAACATGTATAGAGAAGGTGTTGCCAAGCCACTGAAGGAGACAGATAATGCTCTCTACTGCAGAATCAGCCCATTATTAAGCTTTAACAAGCGTCACATTTGAAATGGTTTTTGCCTAACCAGTAATGTAAGAAACTGGAGCAATTCATCCTTCTAGCCCATCGAGGCCAATGTTTATCAATTCGATGATGCATGAATAGTATTAGGAATAATGTTAGCGTCAAAATTGAAGTGATAAAAATAACACTAAGTGGCAGGTTAAATATCACGACGATGGTCTAGCACAACCTGCTAGCTGTTTCTTCTAGTACTACTGTGGCTGCATATCCTGGTAGTTATTGTATAGATTAAGTGATATCTTATACAACGATTTTGTGCCTGTAAATAATTATTAATAAATACAAAAATGTTCTACATAGTTTGTTATTCCTCTAACATAACATTGTGTAACCTGATTAAAAATATGATTCACTTAGAAAATAGAAAAAAAATAGCACAATACTTTGGTGATTTGTTGTATCGATTATATAGCTGGGAGAAACAGGCGTATATATACACACACATACAAATATTCAAACATTAACATATTCTTTCACCATATCCCACCTCTTCTTATGTGTCCTAGCTTCCTCTGCTCCACCTCTTTATCTAAGCCCTCACTACCGGTCCATAGAATTACCCAAATCAGCCCAAATCGGCCCAAAACTACACAAATCGTATATGAAAACTCTTTCAGGACAAAATTTAAAGTAAAACTAGATTAAAGTAAATTTATGTTTCTATCTTTCTTGAGACATATAAAAATCTTACGTTTATTAACGATTCTGCGTGAAATAAGCATTGTTCTGAGATGAATATTGCGGATTTCCGGCTCTACGACCGATGAAAAATGCAACTTTTATACAACTACAAATATGTTTAGTTTTACTTTAAATTTTGTCCTGAAAGAGTTTTCATATATAGATCTAGTTTCTGCCGTTCTTCTGACATAAAAAGACCTTTGGTTTAATAAGTTATTAAGATGTTTTCAACAATATTACTAGGGCGTTCACCGATTCCAACATGGGCGACCCTTTTGGAAACGCATGGAAACGCGACAGACTGGTTATATTCCAACAGGGTCTGAGACATTTGCACTGGCGGGCGGCGTTCTTGCCAACTATATGGCTGTTAAGTTGAAAATTGTAACTGTTAAGAGCATTCTATTGTGGTTTTAATATTGAACAATTATACATATACGAAACAGACAAATCTGGTGTCCGAAATAGTAAAAATATTAGTGTGCGATGTGATCAATGTAAGAGGGATATTGGGTGTGCCTCGTATCCCCTACAACAACAAGAAGTTCGAGAGCGATGAGGCCGCCACCTACTAGCTTCAGGATGTCGTCGAATCTAAATCAACAATATACTCGCGATTTTCTCCGGCGATACGAGGGGCGGACACTGCCCCTGCCGGATGGTGCGGGCACTGTCACCCTCTCGGATAGAAGTGGTGCACTTACTTACATCAGTGTGCATGGGGCTCCCTTGGAGTTTCCAGAGGCTCTGCTACGGCGGTATTTCGGGCGGTTTGGCGCAGTTGTTAGTGTGAGAGTGAACGTGGTGTCTTCTAGTCCTCTTAAGGGTGTGAGGTCTAACATTCGCACCCTGGGCATGAGACTCCGGGCGGATATTCCGTCCTCTGTGCGCCTTATGGGGTACAACGTTCGGGTGTTTTACGCCCGTCAGCCGCGGACGTGTTATCGTTGTGGTCTTTTGGGCCATCAGGCTGCTGCCTGTTCTGCGCCTCCTGTTGCACCAGTGAACCTCTTCAGTGAGGAGGATTTTCCGCCCCTTCCTGTGGGGGATGATTCGGTGGGTATGGACGTCTCTTCGGCTGAGGAGGTGCCCTCTGTAGCAGCTGTTGCTCCGCCTGTTGCGCCCCCTGTTGTTGCCGTATCTCTTCCAGAGGTTGGGTCCTCGCCTAGTGCTCCGGCTGATGTCCCTGCGCCTCTTCCGCCTGCCGTTTGCTCAGACCCCTCGTCTTCCAGTTCTTCCTCTGCTGTGTCTGTCCCGGTCCCTGCACCCTCGCCGTCTGTTCCGGCTGCGCTGGGAGATGAGGTGGATCCGGAATTCCCTCCTGTGCCTGGCCTGGTGCCCCGTGTGGTTGAGGAGGCTGCCGTGCTGCGGCGTGCGTCGGTTCGCTCGGTTGGTGCTGCGCGGGTCGCTGAGTCTGCCTCCGGGTCTGATGATGTGCGGCCCGAGCCTAAGCGTTCCCGGCGTTCTTCTGTGTGGGCTGATGTTGGCGAATTCGACGAGTGTCGTCCTTCCGTTGACGGTGGCGTGGCTCCGGATGTGGTGCACACTACGGTGGTGGCGGAGGTACACTTGCCTGAGGATGCCGGTGCCGGCGTTTCGGCCTCCACTTCTTACCGCCGCTACTTTCTCGGAAACGTAAGTACCTGCCGCTTTACTTCTCTCACCCTGCCTAGCCTGGCCTGTACTTTTGTTCTATGTTATATTTATGTTTTTCTGGCCTGGCCTGGAAACGTAAGTACCTGCCGCTTTACCTGGCCTTGCCAGACCTGACCAGACCTGGCCTAGCCAGACCTGACCAGACCTGACCTGACCTGACCAGACCTGACCAGACCTGACCAGCCTTGGCCTAGCCTAGTCTGACCTGGCCTAGTCTGACCTGACCTGGCCTAGCCTTACCCAACACTAATCACCACACGTGACAGCCCAAACGAATCGCAAATAAGTACACGTAACAAGTCATATGCCCGGACACTCTTTCACCTTGGGGACTGAGTGGTAACTATTGTATAGAAGAGCCGGCTCCCTGAGAGTGGTAAGAGGGCGTGATAAGAGGCTAACGTGTGGTCTTGAAGGAAGTCGATAAAGCAGACAATTTTCAAAAGGAAGGGCAGCATAACGAGCAGACAGGAATGGACAGACAGTCGGTTATCCCATAATGTGTAATACGCCCCGCACAGCATGGGTGGAGTGGGGGGGGGGGGGTTGTAGCAGGGCACAGTATGGTGATGGTGCGGGTGAACTACACACCCACTGAATTCCTGCCATCAATAATTGTTTTCATAACCATTAGAACAATGGCATCCCTCCAGCCACCATCCTTCCACTGACCCCCTCCTCTGGTCCTCCACCTCAGACAATAACCCCCCACACCCCCTCTCCCTTCCAGACATCAGCATGTCAAAATCAGTACCATAATGTGTTTAAACTATTTAAACTAAGTCATTGTGTATCTCAAGGTATCTTAATTCATTTGAAAGTGTACATGTGCATTCGTTCATATACTCGCCTAATTGTGCTTGCTGGGGTTGAGCTCTGGCTCTTTAGTTCCACCTCTCAACCGTCAATCAACAGGTGTACAGGTTTCTGAGCCTATTGGGCTCTATCATATCTACACTTGAACCTGTGTATGGAGTCAGCCTCCACCACATCACTTACTAATGCATTCCATTAGATATAATCATATATGATTACACATAATCATAATCATTCCATACACATAATCATATATGTGTACGTCAACATATACATACATGCGTATATATACCTCATATTAAGATACTGATAAACGAATGACCATGAACAAATTAATTTATAATTGTAGCACTATATATAATTTTAATAGACTAATTACGTGTTTATACATTTGAATGGTCCAGACAGGTGGCCAGCCTTGGACATATACACTTCTGGTAGGCACAATGACCTCATGTTAGACCCTTGATAGATTATGTGAGAGAGAGAGAGAGCTGGGGCAGGGAGGTGCGTGCCCCAGGGAGATAATCCATGCCCATGCCCCGCCTCGAGGTCAGTTCTCGAGTCACACCAAGAATAACAATCGTGCAAGTTGTCCTGACCAGGATGTGGCATATTAGGGAGGGTTGAGGAATAGGAAGCCTGTCTGATAGGGCTCTTGGCAAGCAGCTCTCCCTCAGTCTACCTATCTATATGGAAGAAATGTATCTAGGCCCTCCTCCCCCCTGCCTATTCTCTCTCCCCCACCTTTCTTCCTTCATTTCCTCCCTCCTTCCCTCCCCCTCACTGGTGAGAGAGTAGGAGTGTGAGAGTGGTTAGAGAACTCGTAGTTCTCACGCTCGTGAAATTGTCTGCGACCCTGGAGGAGTAGAGCGGAGGGGGGGGGGTGAAAGTAGGTGACGATGGAGGAGTAGAGGGGAGCATTATATGCAGTGAACGTAGGTGTCTATGGAAGAGTACATCATAGAGGAGGGTGAAAGGAAGGTGACGATGGAGGAGGAGAAGGGAGGGGGTGTGAAGGTAGGTGATGATGGAGGAGTAGAAGGGAGGGGGTGTGAAGGTAGGTGATGATGGAGGAGTAGAGGGGAGGAGGGGGGCAAAGGTAGGTGTCTATGGAAGAGTACATCATAGAGGGGGGTGAAGGTAGGTGGCGATGGAGTAGAGCAAAAGGGGTGGGGGTTGAAAGTAATCCTGAGTTTAATTTTTTAGTTATATATAGTGACACCTCGGCTTACGAATGAATATTTATGAACTTTTTGGGTTACGAGCCTAATTTCTTTGAAAAATTTGAATCGGGTTACAAACTTTGCCTCGGGAAAGGAGTTTGTTGATATACGTATGGGCTGACCTAGCGCGTGGTGGCATGGTGATCGCGCCTCAGTTTACCAGTGTCTCCTGCCTAGTAAGTATCGCGCCTGAATTCTTTGTAAAGCATTACATTTGTTTTGGGATTTTTGGCTATTTGAACATAAAATTTGTTATGATATATCTTGCCATGAGTCCCAAGAAAGCCAGTGTTAAGGTTCAAGCCAAGAAAACACATGTGAGAATGACCATAGAGGAAAAACAAGAGAGCATTCATAAGCGTCAAAACGGTGCACAGGTTGTTGAACTAGCTAGGCAGTACAACAAATCTATGTCAACAATATGCACTATACTTGCTAAGAAAAAGGACATTATGAGCATTAAAGTGGCAAAAGGCATATCAACAATCCCGAAACAAAGAACACAAACACTTGAGGATGTTAAAAAGTTTTTATTAATTTGGATACACAACAAGGAGTTAGCAGGTGATAGCATTTCAGAGGCCATCATTTGTGAGAAACCAAGGCATTTGCATGAAGACCTTTTAAAGAAAACCCTGGAACGAGGGGGGGGGGGAAAGATGAATCAAGTTTGAAAATGTGAAAAGTTTGTGTGACAATAGAGCCTCGTGGAAAACTTTTGCTGTGGTCATTACCTGGTGGAATGCACCCAGGATGGAGTATTAGGGCTATACATCTTTTAAATCATAAAAGTAATAAACATTTCCCATCAACCTTACAAACAATATTAACCTATTTTCATGTATTTCCCCCATGTGCATTTTAACAAAGTTACTAAATTGCCTTTATCATTCTGTAAAATTTCAATTACAGTACTGTATGTATAATTTTGTTAGTATAAATGGACTGAATATTCTGAAATTGCTATTAATTTTACAATTTCAGATTCAAAGGTGGTCTGGACACCCAATTTGGTCAGACAGGTGAAGAGAGCATTTAGGATAGTTCGAAGAGATGAAGATGGTCGCAATTGTGTTCGAAGAGGCAAACGCCCCCCTTTGCTCCTGACATTATGTTCAACCATTGACCTCTGCACACCTAACACAAGGTAGGTTGAAAACTCCTCCTTTATGTCATTGGTACATTAGCCAGAAATTCAGG